CCAGGACACTGCTGCCTGCCTTCCAACCTTGTTTTACAGTGTATGGACGAGTGAGTGCATGTGAGGCTGCCCACTCCGGGCCCTCACAGGGGACATGTGAGGCTGCCCACTCCGGGCCCTCACAGGGGACATGTGAGGCTGTTGTTCAGTGTTATGTTGAAAAGACATTTTTATTCTGATCATGATTGATTCAAAAACTGTAAGTTCATGTTATACAAAATAATTTACTGTATACTTTTTTTATATGTCTAACAAAAATACAGCTGCAACATTTTGATTCCTGTTAATTTTGTTCTTTAATTAAATGACTACTTACTGCAGGAAATGAACTCAGGCTTTGTTTCTTGGTCAGTAGCATCTCGGTTTGTTCCACAGATCCCTGTTCTAACTTCCATCACTTATCAACCACTGGGATCCAGACAGAGGAAAAAATTCAGTTTGTTACATTTTTTGAAATGTTGGTATAGGTGTTTGTGCCTTGGAAAATCCAATGATCTTTTTCACACTAATTTATCAACACTGAAAAATGCAATAATCTGGGACTGAGCCAATAATCTAAAATGAAAATTACAACCTCCTAAATGGAATTTAAAGTCACATTTGCAATACTGAAAAGTTTAGGTGGATGGGATATTATGAAAATTTAGTTGGGCACAATGGTGGGAATCAACTTACTCCTCCTGGCTTGCCAAGGCTAACTGCTCCCGTAGTGCGCCTCTCCACTGGCTTCCAGGGAGGGGTCTCCACGGGAGCCTCCTCCCTGACTTCTGGGGAGGGGTCTTCACGGGATGAGCCCTCCTTGCTGATGCGCTGGAGCCTGCAGAGCGACTGAGCTCTGTGCTCCACTCCCACTGCTGTTGTAGCTAAGGTGCTGCTACACTGCCCAGCGCCTCCAGGCCTGGCTGCAGCCAGAGCGCGCCTGGCACTCAGCGCCTGTGCCTCTCACGGCATGCACTGCCAGCTTCCCCTTCCTCCTCCTGGACGCGTGCTATCGGGTCAGACACCATGGGGACTGCCAACATGTGTGGCTGCAATTTGAGGGGACTTTTGGTGTGTCCCAGATACTAGTAAATATACTAGTATTTGGATTAAAGTCTTTATAAGAAACTGCTGTTGTGGCAGAGAAACTGTGGCACTCTAACTTGCTGTATAAACATCTGGGACTGACAGCGAGTTCCCCAAGCCTCAGTTTCTTTGAAATGAGATAAATCCTTTCTAAATAAAAGTCACATATTTAACGACCTTTAGGTGTGCATACAGAATAACTTTAGTAACTGGCCACAAATAATTGGTCACGAATAATCATTTTTTTTCTGCTTAATTTAGCTACACATTAGCTTACTTTTATTCAAGTAAATATTGGAGTGGACAGCAACACTAATCTTTGATCTACTGTGGAAGAAACAGCAGAGGACTGCTCTTCTAGGAAGCCCTGGGCCCCAAGGCAGCAGGGGTGAGTGTGTGGCGCTCAGAAGAGCACCAAAGGGGACCTATGCTTTGAGATGACCTGATAAATGGCACATTTAGGTTTCTGTGGAAGTCCCCGAGCTAATGCATAGTAGAATTAAAAACCTACAGGATGCTCCAAGGAAGAGTTGGGTGGGTTCAGGCATAAATGTTTTAGGCACCTGTATCTAGCAGGCATTTTAATTTCATCAAAAGTTTTGGCCAGAGTATATAATTCTACCATTTGCCTTTTATTAATCTCCATATGGGATCCCGGGCATGCAAGGCGAGGACCTTAACCACTGCGCCACCGTGCCAGGCCCTAGAATCATGTTTTAAGCTAATATTGTCAATACTATGTGTCATAGACTTTTTGGAAAGCATTCTAAAAATAAAGGGACTGAAATTAAATCACCTTAACAGCCAAAACTCGGAATGGAGAGAAGCGCCTACCACCAGCAAGTCCGCCTTCTGGAAATGCCTGGCAACTTCAGGTCTGCATCCATTCCCTACTGGAGGGAGGGGAGGCAGATATTCTTCAAAACTGAGTTACTATTAAAATTGAGGCCCATATGCTTATTGCCCATTAACTCAGTTCTTGGAGAAAAACATTAAGGGACAAAATGCAAATCAACTGAAAATTTTCAAAATTTGTATGAATGACCTTTGCTCATTTCTCGGTACCTTCAGTGGTAGTGCTATGAGGTAGATACTGCGGTTTATATTCAGATAAAATGTTAGAATCCGGGAAAGATAGCACTTATTAGTTGCATAACTATGCAGGCACAGTAGCAGCTTGATTTTACAATAAAAAGAAACCATTTAATGTCATTAATTTCAATTACATGACAAATTCTGAAACTTTTTGTTGCAAACAAGCTATTACATATGTGTTGTCACTTTCCAAATGCATTTTCTATCCTTTTTCAAAGAGCCTGTCCCGGCACACTGCGTTCACGCAGGTGTCGCAAGACCAGTCCCTTCTCTGCTCGTCTACGTCCTGGCGACAGCGGGCAGCATTTTACCTTAGGGCCCAGTCTCCATCCTGTTCGTCTCTACTAGTTACACTGATTCCTATGCTTTCTTGATACGCTATTTTCCTCAAAATCCTACTTTAGTGCTTTATCTGTAGCACTTACGATTTTATTATAATTTTTAGATATAAGTAAATATGCAATTGTGGTAATATTGACAGAGTTTACAGTTAGTGAGGGCAGATGACAGAATGGCTGAAGAATTCCCCTCTTCTGACTCCTGAGTTCCATGCAAGCACTAAGTGCAGAGGTGGCAGGATGTGGCACTGTAGCCAGAAGGGAGCACTGTGTGGCCACCATCCATCCCTCCCGAGGCGTGCTGGCCTCTCGAGTGGCCAAGTGTCCAGACCACAGTGACCGTGGGGACAGTCTGGTGTCTGCATCCTAGTGTTGGAGCATCTCCAGGTTTTTCTTGTGCAACTTGAACATTTATCCCCACAGAGCTCCATGTGGTGGGCGGCACATGATCAATTTACACCAATAAGCCTTACACTCCATACAGCTAAGAAATTTATTATCTATAATGCTGAATTTGGGCTACATGTGAAACATCAAAACCAATAATTTGAAGCTATATTGTCATTACCCTCTGCTAATGGAAAAATTATTTAAACCACTGTATCTAAAATACTAAGATAAACTGTTAAGATTTTGTCTCTAAGTCTGCAAACCACAACCGACAGTCCAGTCTGGCCAGCTTGCTTTTCTGTTTCAGTGACTGCAAGCTAGAGATGACTTGGTTATATATTCACGCAACTGTTCCAACTACAACAGCCCCAGACTGGCATTTGGACTCAAAACCTAAAACATTTACCTCATGACCTGTTAGACAAAAATTTCTACTTTCTTCCTAACTTTAAAAAACTGTATATGTATAATGGAAAATTTGAGATAAAATACACACAACACTTAAAAGCCAAACTGTTTCCAAATGAGCTTCAAAGTCAATATTCCAAGTTTCAATAATTATAAATTCATGCTGACCATAGCTATTTGTGCATAAGATATATAAATAAGGCCTTATTTATATTAAAGGTGTTTCATTAGTGTGACAACCAATTCCTACTGATTTAAAATTACTACCATCACAGAAGAAGCTAAAATATATTTATTTTATTCAACCAAATGTATTCCTGGAAAAAACTGAATTACTTTCCAGATGTTATTGCATAATATTTCTGTGGGCCTTTCTGAACCTAATCCTATGTAGAAAACACCATGTTGTATCTGTGCTGGCTGGTTTTATCAGTGAAGCACATTTCACTGTCTATACAGTTCCTCCCAGAGGCAAATAAAAATGGAAATAATGACTGTATAACTTTAAAAAATCTCAATTTTTAGTACAAGAAAGGAGAAAAAGCAGCAACTAGGAAGTGAATAAATTAAGATCAGCACTAGAAATTGCTGAGCTGAGTTGGAAATCATGTGGAGGAACAGTAACTAAAAGGCTTTCTTTACTTACTTAACACACATGGAACTCCACATTAATGGAAAATACTTCGAGTCGGTGTCTCCGTAAGCAGAGGAAGACAATGCTCGCACGGACACGGGAACCGGTTGGATTTCCGAGTGCTTCAGGTAAAGATGAGGTAAGATCAGCTGAAAGTGAGTTCAGGGGGAGGCGCTGACATGCAGGTAAAACCAGTCACTGGACAGAGTAAGGTTTGTTCAGCAATAAACAGGCACGGATTTAATACACTTAAAGTTAGATTGCTAATTTTTTCCCAGTGCCGTTCAGCTGCTGGAAGGAAGGCTGTGACTGTGTCTGAAAAGCTGACAAAGCGTGAGTGTAGAAACGAGAATGAGTTAAAAAGGACAGGTGAGGTGAACAGAGCAGCAGAAGGATGGAGTGAATGGCTTGGTATGACTACACACAGAAAGCTGGGCAGCCTGGATGAAGGGTAGGAATGCTGGAGACGGTAAACTAGAACAGAATTGCAGCGCGTTCTAACCTTGCTACTGTAAGTGTGAACCTGACGTGTTACACATTCTGAGTACAGGCCCAAGCATCCATTGCACAATAATCTCTCCCGTGACCCCAGCAGTAAACATTTCCTGATGTATTAACAGGAGGAGTCTATTCTGCTTGTCTTGCTAAGAAGCCACTTGTAACTCTTTATTTATATACTGCTACCATTAAACAGGTCACAGATGGTAAGGCTACTTAGTATTACATTTCAAGTGTCTGCCTGGAGGAGGATTTTTCCTTGTTCCAATGTTCATAAACAGTACTTTTTTTTTTTTTTAATTCTTATCGGCAAATCATTCTACAGAGAGGAGGACAGACAGAAAGATCTTCCTTCCAATGGTTCACTCCCCAAGTTGCAATGGCCGGAGCTGAGCCAATCTGAAGCCAGGAATTTCTTCCAGGGTCCCAAGGCTTTGGGGCAGTCCTCCACTGCTTTTCCCAGGCAACAGCAGGGAGCTGGATGGGAAGTAGAGCAGCTGGAATTCGAACCAGCGCTCATGTGGGATCCTGGTGCATGCAAGGTGAGGACTTGCTAAAGTAGCCTCACTAGGCTACCACTCCGGGTCCAAAAAGGTAAAATGTTTTATGAAACAATCTTGTGTTTAGTCAGGTGATGTTAGCATTTAAGCTTTAGTATATCAAAAGCAAATCAAGTATGTACTCATCTTTATAAACTAATGTTTCAATGAGTATTAGGGGCTTACAAAGTACTTCCCAAACAGTCTGGTTATAAGTTAAGACTTCTACACTGATTTAAAATATCCAGGAAATACAGCAATGTCTATTTAGTGCCTTCTAACACTAGGAACCATGACTGACTCCTGTCTGCCCCGTGGTTGAAGCCCCTTACGCCTCAGGTAAGCATTTCAAGTCGGGGGTCTCCTCATCCCTTTTTAGATGGGGCTACACACTGTTACTTGTATATTCTGAATTATTAAAGAACTTTTAATATACAAACGAATGTTATTACATAAAATGTATTTTTAAATTGTTTAACAAATATTACTACAAAAGTCAGCAAACTCCTTTTACTGTTTGGTTTGACAATTTTCTCCCTATCAAATTAATACTGGGCTTGGAGAGCTGATAGAGATGAAAAAGATACACTGTAACATTTGAGTTCCCAGGGTCCCATAAGGTAGACTTTATTTCCTTTATCAGAATAGCCTTACAGAGAAAATAAACAGATGCCAATAATCAGATCTCACACATTAATATTTGTCATGAGTCATGAATAATGACATCAGCCCTCTGCGCACATGAAGAAGCTCCTCTTCTTGCTGTGGTTAAAAAAAGCAAAACATTAGCACCATACAAGAAAGAAACTTCCGTTAGAAACTTCACCTCACAGATCTGCTGTACCAGTGCCCGTTTGTCCATGACATTCAAGGGAGAAATGCCTCTGGACTCTGGAACCCAAAATGAAATGCACATTTAGTTGTAAAGGAAGTGAGCACCACAAAAGGAGCCCAGAAATGAATTTCTATGAGGTCAGCCTGGTCAGATAGCTCAACTAACCCAGCCACAACATACTGGTATATACTATTTCAGCATGCTGCTGTTCTATTAAAGTACGATTAAACACCAAAATCCTCGCAGAGCCGCATCTTAGTACCTCCTGGCTCACTTTCCACAGGCCTACAAGCTAGCAGCTGCGAGCAGGGGCAGGTGAGTAAGCTCCATCCCTAAGTGAAATGGACAGAGTTCCCGCTGACTAAGGGTCTTTCTGGATCGCTCTCTTGCCCTGCCTTCTGAGGATGCTGGCTGCAGAACACAAGGCAATGTTTCCAGCTGAAAACTTACATTTTCCACCCTCACCTCTTAGTGATTATAAACATCCCATTATTTAACCAAACCTACAAGTCCCAGGTCTAAAGTTGCCTTCTCCCAACTCAAACAGGAAGAGCCCTGTGAAAGAATATTTCATCACAAGATAAAAAAGTACGATTATCCCACTTGAACAACAGTTAGCTGACTTGCCATTTCCTGGAGAAGTCTGTCTTGCACAATTTTCATGTTTTCTTTCATCAAACACATCTGCAAAAATATAATTTCCTCCATGAAATTTTCAGTTTTTATAGTAAAGGCAAGCTAGACTAACCACATTATCAAGAAAGATTACATTTAAAATTATAAACTTTTTCACCTCTGATGTAAAAATAGTTTCTTCATAATCAGGGCTGTGGAAGACGTGTTTGTCCAGTGAAGCTTTCAGAAGCTGAAATCTAACAAGTAAATAAAGTCACCTTCATACTTATCAAGAATCTACAATAGTGTATTGATCATTTAGCAATGGATCGACAGATTTGTCACTCAAGATTCAACACTAACCTCTGCTGTTCACTTTTTCTATATGTTCTGTACTTCTGAAGTAACTTCTCCCAAAATACCTAAATTTTCAGAAACAAAAAATCAGTTATTCTATCGTAAAATTTAAAACTAAAACCCGATATTCTAACAATTTAGCCACAATGCTAAGAATATTCGATACTATGCATTTTTGCAGATTAAAAACATTAAGTAAACTCAGAATTTTCCACCATGAATGATATTCAACATAAATTTTTAAGTATTTACAAGTTAAGCTCATCAAAATGCCAAGCTAAAATAAAACAATGTTCAAGAACAGAAAGCTTCGGGATGTGATCAAGAGAAAATGGATGTCCTGCTAGGTAGAGGTCTTTCAAAACAAGACTTTAAAATCAATTCTTAGGAGCACAAACCACAAATTCTTTCTCGAAATCTTTTAAAGATTGTGAATCTTTCTCAAAACTCTTCAGCTCTTCAGTGATGATGACTTGGAATTTATCAATTTTTTTCAGCCTGTTGGAGAACAGAAATGAGCCTTTCAGCAGGCCTCAGCATGTGGAGTTTGAACAGCGCTGGGGGCGTGGGTCTGGACGGGGCGTGGGTCTGGAGGGGGCGTGGGTCTGGACGGGGCGTGGGTCTGGACGGGGCGTGGGTCTGGACACGGCGTCGGGCAGCCCTGCCACACACCTGTGCTCCTGCAGCTGACGGCTCATGGTTTTCAGGTGCTGCTGGATGATTTTCCAAGAATGCTTAGCAAAAAAATCCATTTTTCTATTTCGGATCTGAAAAATACACACTTTATAAGACATAGAAAGACACTGTTCTAACTATCAGTGTGGCTTTGACAAAAGGCTAAATTATTTTCATAAAATACATTCTACCATATTTTTTTAAATGTTAGTGATAATTCCCCATAAGGTCACACTAAGATTTTTGTCATTTTCCCACCAAAACGAATTTACTTTTAAATCCACATTTATTAAGATGCATAACAAGGTAGTAGATCAGGGCTAGATTAGGTAGACCTGAGACAAAAAAATATATATATATATATATATACACAACATTAAATAATTTCAGATCTTACTCCTGAACAGAAGTGCATGAGCTAGGGTTAATAATCAGTCCTGGAAAAAAAAATCCCATGACAGGATATAAAGGAACTAGCTTTCCAAATATGAAGATAGGTGAAAAGCCACTGCAAAGAATGTGCTTTATAAAGTTGCTTTATAACATGTTTTTGCATAAATTATCTCACTGGAGCATCAAAAACTAAGTACGCAAAATAAAACTTGGTGAACACGAGTGTCTGAATGCATCTGCCTGCCCTTTGTCATACTACTCTCCCGCACCGTCACCTCTGGCAGAAAGACAAGATAATAAAAGCTTGGGGAAAAAGACGAGTCATCAAAGTGAAAACATTAAATGCAGACTAAAACTAGCCCTCTAGAGAAAACGAGACACTGCAAAATGTAGAGTAAGAGCCAAAAAATAGCTCAGTAGAGACGAATTCCAGTGACTAATGGATTTAACAAGCCAATAACCTCACAGGAAGTGGCACACTAGTCCTGGGCATAAACCACAGTTTAAAAGAATGGTAACTCACATTAATCTTCTTACATTCTGAATCCATTTTCCTTAATCCTTCCCAGTTTTCCACAGGAATAAAAAAGCCATTTACTGATGGAGATGAATTGTCAGACTCTAAACAGAAGATCAGCTATTACAAACTTAACCTTGTAATTAAGCTGAGAACATATGCTCACTTTCAGATTATTTGGATAACACAATTTTGAGACGGCAACACTAATGTAAAGCAGATTATTCCGATTTACACCATCGAGGCAGACGCTTTTACTCCACCAGACTCTGCCACTGACTGCTTCCGCGCGTTCACACATGCAGCTAGACACACAACACAGCAGCAGTCTAGTCTACTAACGCTTTGGGAAGTGGTGATGGCATGATGCTGAAGGACATCTCTGAATACACAACATCTTAAATTATCCATCTAAAGGGAACTCGGTTCTGTGCTTATTTCATGTTGTCTATACAATCTGCTTTATAGAAGCACTCATTCAAAATCCAAGACCTTCCCTTCCACACACTTGCATCTGACAAAGGATTTGGATCTGCTTACTTTTGCAGGAGCGACGATTTGCACTTTCAATTTTACACAATTTTTTGGGAAGCAGGTTCTCTCTCTCTTCCAGTTCTTCATTAGAATTATCCAGATAATCTGTGTGTGTTCGTTTGCGACTAAGTGGTTGAATGGGACCTTAGGAAGTTAAGACATAATACTCTTAGTTTAATAACTCTTAGTTTGTTAAAAATCCTGTTCAGTTACCTATTGTGTTACTTTTTAGGCAGCTGCACTGCATTCTATTCAGTCTTTCTGGTATATTGTTTAAGCTTTTGTATCTGAATGACTTCAAATACAGAATTACTTGAGATCAGATTTCACAGACTACAAACCAGCTGTGTGGGCGGTGCCACAGGGAGTGTCCGTTTTCTCTCCTCCTTCACCAGACATGGATGGTGGAGATGACGAATGGTTTTCCTAAAAACACAAGAAATTAATCAGGAACTACGGCAAGGGCTGTTTCACCTTTGGCTATCTCTAAACTCCTAAGTTTTAAATCTTGCCCTTTTACCCCAAATTTTATTTTTTTTCTTTCTTGTCATCTATAACGCCTAGATTTCTATGTTTAATTTCAACTCTAATATAGTAATTTCAATGTAGCTTTTTGAACTATTTATGCTTTTCAATTTTTCAATGTCTTTTCATTTCTTAGTTCATAAATAGGAACTATAAAAAGTTTAAACTCTTTTCAAGCCACATTTTCATATCCTCTTTGTTCACTGTGTATTTTCTTTAGCTGATTTGTAGTGACCTCTACTTAGATTACCACTCTTTCCTTCACTTAAAGCCAGCTCAAACACAGGTTTTCTCCAAACTGTAAAAATCTACCTTGACACTTTGTAGCTTTTAAACTTTATTGATTTTATTAACAGACCAATGTACTTGGATCAAATGAAACCAGGGGATGGCCATTTGGCATAGCAATAAAGATACAGCTTGGGATGGCCACCCCCTTGTGCCTGGGTTGGAGACCAGCTCTGCTCCCAACTCCAGCTTTCTTGCTAAAGTGCACCCTAAGTGCTACATGATGGTCCTGTGGTTGGCTCAGTGTGACCCCAGAAGACCTGGATGGAGCATGACCCAACCCCGGCTGCTACAGGCCGGGATCCCATCTGGAGTTCTAATCCTAGAACTTCCCATCCAGCTCCGTCCTGTGGCCTGGGAAAGCAATGGAGGACGGCCCAAAGCCTTGGGACCCTGCCTCTGCATGGGAGACCCAGAAGAGGGTCTGGGCTCCTGTTTCTGGGTCGTCACAGATCCGGCCGTTGTGGTCACTTGGGGAGTGAATCAAAGGACGGAAAATCTTCCTCTCTGTCTCACCTCCTCTCTATATATCTGTCTTTGCGATAAAAACAAATAAATCTTAAAAAAAAAAAAACCATAGTTCCATTTCGACCTGCCTTAAAAGTTTCACTGACGCTTTCATTGAAATATTTTCTGTGAAGACTAACAACTTGAAAGAATAAAATATTAAAACCCTAGAAATACAAGAGTATTCAAAAGGTTCATGGAAAATGAGTATTATAAGATTGTAAATTTGCACCCAAATTAACTCTTTGTTTCCTTGGACCTCAGAATGGTTAGCTATTCAGATCTGTCATTGGCTTACTAAACCATCATTAATTCCATATTTTTACACAGAAGTTAACCTATGTCAAGAGAAGGAAATAACTGAGGATCTATCATGTTTCAGGTATAAATGTCAGCCTATTTAATGTTTCCTTGCCTCATTTCAGACAGGAGTACATTGAACTGCACAGATAGTGAAGCCAGGATTCAAATACAGTTTTGTCTAACACAACACACTTTGAGCTAGACTGTTACAATATACTCTGTTAAAATTCACTCTAAAAGACAGAACTCGAAATGCAAAATTACTCATAACAGATTTTAACTAGCTCTTCCCTCTCTTGGAACCCTGAGTCCTATATCAAGTCCTGGAACTTTCAAACATACTTACAATATTTTATTAATAAATGGCATATAACTCAATACATACAAATAGCTTCACTACACCAAATTTTTATGAAGATATTAGTGAAAACTGTTTTCAGCATGTTGTTGGAATGCACTTTGCCCAATGTGGTTTCAGTACCTAAAAGCTGCAGGCTGTGAATGAGTCATCTCAGGTGGATGCCTGCTTACTGCCGGGAAGGCTAGGCTGCTCTAAGCCAGCCCCACACCCAGGGCTGGTCTGGAAGAGCTCACTGCTCACACGCTTTCCTATTCTCAGACTGCTTCATGCTAACGTGCTGTAACTTATAACACAACTCTTTCCAGTTCAGATACAATTCTAAGGATATAATGACATTCTGGAACAATGGATTGCCACACCACCTTATTGCTCCTTCCACATGGAAGATGGGGTTCATTAGGTCCACTGAGGCTGGGCATGCTATCTTATTTTTCTCTCCTCCCAAATTAAAAAATCAAATACAAAACCTTAAGTAGGGAAGCAATGCTTATTTAACATTATAGGCTAAGCAGTTACCATCTTCTGATGTATCTGATCAAGGAAAAAACTACATGCACATGTACACACATGTGTGTATATAAACACCTACACATATGCGCAGATACACACATGCACCTATACACACATATGTACCTATCATACATGCACCTATATACACACATTGTACCTATCACACATGCACGTACATGCACAGATACATGCATGCACCTATATACACACATATACGTACATGCACAGATATACACATGCACCTATATACACAGATACACATATGTACCTATCACACATGCACCTATATACACACATATACGTACATGCACAGATATACACATGCACCTATATACACAGATACACATATGTACCTATCACACGTGCAGACATATACACAGACACACACACGCTCTTACCAAAAATGATGGTTGTGGAAGTGGTGAGCTGCTGTGATTTGTACATAGCAAAGTTTTTTTGGCTGAGTTTGCTGAAACCCCAACTCCACTGTTACTGTTGAAGGACTCAGATGAGGACATTTTTGGACAAGGTGACACAGAATTTGTTATGTAGTCACAATCCTTAGTGAAATCCCTTTCTGCTTCGTTCTCATCACCTACATTGCCCCAGGAAACAAAGAAGAAAACAGATGTCACGTTATAATTAATGTCTGCTTAGAAATAGCAATACTAAGATCTATCAAAGTCTTGAATTTTGCCTATATTTTAAATATAAAACTTTCAAAATATTAAGAGGAAATTATGTTTAAGAATTTTTATGACTCTGAAAGATGGATTTAAAATGTACCCGTAACAACATATACAACATTTAGAGTAAAAGCATCACAGTAAAAACTGAACTATATTGATCAACCCTAAGTATTATCTTGAGTATAATGAAATCTCAGGCAATTGTTATATACTGAAGTCCAAGATTGTATGATCGGCAAAGGGTTGGGAAATCACATGGTCTAACTTCCTCATATAAAAATAAGAAAATTTACTGCTGAAATAAGATTTGTTAAAAGTCTGACACTTTTCAGACCAAATCAGGGCTTGTACATCCGTCTTCTGATTGTGTGTGTATGAAGCGACAGCGAACGTTATGAAAATGAAATAATACAGTTACTTTAAAAGAAATATCTGTGTTAAGGCTTGAGCTTTCATTTAGATCACTGAACTTTAGAAATGTTTTAAGGGCCTGGTGCAATGGCCCTGTGGCTAAATACTTGCTTTGCAGGCACTGCAAACACACATGAGCACCTGTTCATGTCCCAGCTGCTCCAGTTCTCACCCAGCTCCCTGCTTGTGGCCTGGGAAAGCAATAGAGGCTAGCCCAAAGCCTCCGGACCCTGCACCTGTGTGTGAGACCCAGATGAAGCTTCTGGCTTTGGATCAGCTCAGGTCTTGCCACTGTGGACACTTGGGGAGTGAACCAGCAGATGGAAGACCTTTCTCTATGTCTCTCTCTAAATCTGCCTTTATGATAATTTTTTTCTTTTTTAAAAAATGCTTTAAAATATTGAAGGGACTGGTCTGATGGATCAACTGGCTAATCCTCCTTCTGCAAGCACTTGTTCCAGCTCCCTTGTTTGTGGCCTGGGAAAGCAGTAGAGGTTGACCCAAAGCATTGGGATCCTGCACCCATTTGGGAGACCTGGAAGAAGCTCCTGGCTTTGAATGAGCTCAGCTCTGGCCACTGTGGCCATTCGAGCAGTAAATCAGCAGATGGAAGATCTTTTTTCTTTCTCTCCTGTCAGTAAATCTGCCTATCCAATAAAAATAAACTTAAAAAAATCATTTCAAATGACATAAACGTACAAGCTTATCTGTATAGTTTGTATACCAGAAAGATACATATAAGTCAGAGTTCCAAAGAATATGAATTTTACTCTATATAAAGTAAAATGTCAATTGTTTGAGGATAACCCCCTGTGGATCCACAATCATTATGTCTTTGTACATAATGAACATTTTTGTACATTTTGTGCAATTGTACACAATGGTTATGTACAGAGGGGCCCAGCACTATAGCCTATTGGCTAAAGTCCTTGCCTTGCATGTGCCAGGATCCCATATGGGCGTTAGTTCATATCCCAGCAGCCCCGTTTCCCATCCAGCGCCCTGCCCAAGGCCTGGGAAAGCAGTGGACAATGGCCCAAAGCCTTGGGACCTTGCATCCACATGGGAGACCCGGAGGCGGCTGCGGGCTCCTGGTTTTGGGTTGGCTCAGCCCTGGCCATTGTGGCCACTAGGGCAGTGAACCAGTGGATGGAAGATCTTCCTCTCTGTCTCTCCTCTCTGCATATCTGACGTTCCAATAACAATATATAAATCTTAAAAGGAAAAATAGAAATCTCCCTAATTATGTTAAGTCAAGTGCATATTGAAATCAAATGCATATTGAAATCACACACCTTTTTTGAACTTTCATCTTATAAGTTACATTTTCCATACTGTGGCATTTGCTCTTTAACTTCTAGTCACAAAAAATTTCACTATCCTAGTAAAATTGTTCCCAAAGTACTAAAAACCAAGTTACTAGAATTAAATCATCAGAAGAGGTGGTGCAGCTGCTGAGGAGCCACACCCCACCGTGCAGGGCCTGGCTCTCACTCCTGGCTCCGGCTCCACACCCAGCCCCTCTTAATGAGGACCCTGGGCACAAGGATGCCACCTCAAGGAACTGCTCCCCGTGTGGAGACAGGGATCAAGTGCCCATCTTTTTAACTGTTGGTCGTGTTGACATTTGAAGAGCAAAAATGAAGTTTACCTATAACCTTAAGATACAGTGCACCCAAGTTAGTCTTCAGACTGTCTTTTCACACAATTACAGAAAATCACCATTCAAGGAGAACACAGCGACACTGACATCTCATTACTTCTATAGATGACGGGCTCCCAGACCGTGCAGCCGGCGCCGAGTGCAGGCCGGGCTCTCCTCTGGGCAGCTTAGGTCCAGCCGAGGCTCTCTGTCCTTTTGATCTTTTCTTTCGTGTTTCAGCAGAGGAGACTTGCTGCTGCTTCCTCGGCACCTTCCTGCTTTGGGCTCCTGAATGGATACTCGCCTCCTAAATAAATCGGTAACTTTTCAAATAAGCTGGAATACAAAACTTTACTCTTGGGACAGTAAGCAGTGTAACTGAAAGACTTAGAATGCATAGGGCAAATTTACCACTTATTAGACTAATAAGCATTATTAAAACCATGGGAATACCCCGAGGGTTCAAAGAGCACTGTATCCACTTTGAGGAAACCACAGAGTTCCTAGATTTCACAGAACCTGAGACACTGAGGAGTTTGGGAAGCAATCCGGCGGCAGCACAGGGAGTTAAGGAGCACAGCTCTTTGCCTTAAGTCTTCACAGTTCCAGGCTGTGCTGGAAGAGTGAGGGTCCTGCGGCACTTTTATGCACTGAGTGTCTGACAACAGGGAGCGTTGGCAGGGTTTTTGTTTGATGAAGGATGCCATGAAAGGAGGCTTAGACTGACCTGATGGTATGTATGACAAAGTCAAACAAAATGACAGAAAATCCAAGATCAGTTCTAAAGTCCTTATATTTGCCATGTAAGAGACAACCAAGATAAAAACAAGGAGAGAAGGGGGTTTCATGACTTAAAACCAGCACAGAGGCGTTACAGCTGTGGTACAGCGGGCTAGCTCACTGCCTGGGATGCCAACATCCTATAGAGCACTGGTTCTAGTCCCTTTTGTGCCACTTCTGATCCAGCTCCCTGCCAGCATAGCTGGGAAAGCCACTGAAGAGGGCTCCAGCCACCCCAGCAGGGGAGCAGGATGGAGGTCCAGGTTTGTGGCTTTTGTCTGGCCCAGGCCAGTGCTGTGCCACTGGAGGACTGAACCAGCAGAGGGAAGCTGTCTGTCTCTCAAATAATAAATCTGGAAAAAAAAAAAAAAAGGAGGAACAGGGAAACATCAGGACAGAGCCCTCCCTTTAGAACCATTCTCTGGGTCCTGAGCGTGTGACCTCAGGAAAATGCATCTCACGGAGTTTCAAGTTCCTCATTGTATGATGGGATGGCAAGAATAGTACTAGTTAGATACATTACTGATGAGATTATTTTATTTGAAAGGCAGATTTGACAGAGTAGTGTTGCACCACTGCTTTCCTCCTTAAATGGCAGCAACAGCCAGCTAGGGAGCTGAGCTCATGAGAAGCTGGGAGCCACGAGTTGCTCCGGGGTCTCCCACACGGGTGCAGCCACCCTCTGCTGCGTCCCCCACCCTCGAGCGGGGAGCTGGGTGCGATGTCCAGCTGCTGGCACTGGAGCCAGCACGGGATGCTGGCACTGTAGGGCTAAGTATTAACTTGACGTGCCACCATGCCAGCTCCACTAATGAAATTTTAAGACATTAAATCTATAAAGTGCTTAAAAATAGCAGCTGGCATATTGCAAGCACCATGTGTGTGCAAATAAATTTTGTAAACATTATTTTAAAAGATTTTATGACCAAGAGGTTAGAAATAAGTAATATTAGGAGACCCAAGAAATCAGAGATGGGCACAGGTGGGGAATTGTGTGGGAAGAAATCAAACACTTTCTGCTTTTGTCAAGATAAAGATCATACTTCCTATCAGGGTAGGCTTCACTGAAACAAAATTTTTAGAAAGATCAATTATTTTAATGTTTCAAAGATCCCATCAAAGTTATAATTATGCTAGATTAAGATGTTTTATAACACTAATGTCAACTTACTAACTTAAAAAATATTGCCTGATCAAATTTTCTCATATAGAAGACAGTTTTAAAAGCTGCAAAATAATTTATTTTATTAAAATATTATAAGTCTCTTAGAAATTATTAATTTGAATTCCATTTACCTTTCCTTGTAATTTCTCTTTAACTGAGTGTGGCAGTTCTTGTTCACTTTCTGACTCTGAATTGGAGAGGTCTTTATAATTTTTGTTTCTTGTTGCTCTTCGTGGAAGTCTAATTCTCCCATCTGTGACGGTCAAATCTACCTTTCTGGTGATGTTTTTACTGGATTCCTTTAGAAGAAAAATTCCCAAGTGCTGGTATTATTGTTATCAGTATTTGACACACAAGACATTTAACTCATTAGAAATCTGTAGGTGGTACAACCAAATACTTGTTAGAATAAAATGGCCCTTAATTTTTTTTAAAAAAGTGATTGCACTTTGTCTTCCCACTCCCTTTAACTTTTCCCACCATTAGCCCTGAGAGGCCTGCTGTGTATTGTCTAACCTAAGTAACCATGACACTCCCAGCACCACTGAACGCAGTGGCCCACCAGGCCAGGAGTGAGTGCACAAGAGCCAGGGCAGTCATGGGGAAGAACTGCGAGGACACCATTGTTTACAGATTATCATAAAAATAAAGAACATTCAAATACATACTTGTTGGTTTATCATTTTAGAACGTGCTTGTCTTTTATCCAATGATGGTCCTGCAATTAGGAAAATATGGCTAAAATTTTCAGATAAGAACAAGCATTAAATTTTTCACAACATTCCTGCATGTATCACAGTTCATTCGTAAAAACTACAAAATAATGTGTGTGAAAAGCTGTGTTCTCACTGACTGCGATTCCCTTTCCCTGGCTTCAAGCCACAGGGACGCGATGTTCCAGCATCCTCAGACCACAGCGTCTCTGAGTCTCTCAAAGGGAGCGGAGAACTGGCAGCTACCACTGGGCAGTAGGATGTAGCCTGAGTTCATTACCAATTCACTTTCTTCTTTATGCTCTAAAGCTCTTTAAAGATAATCTGACATTAGTCAATACCTATGAATTTATCACTCAGCTTAAGAACTAGTCATGAATAATGCTCAAGCTACTTACATAATTAGAGCATCCTTTATACTCCTGCTCAACGGTAGTAACTATTCTGAAACGTTTCTTTACTCAACTCGCATGCTTTTTAAAATGTTATGCTTCAAACAAATACCTCTCTAAACACTAAACTTTAATATATCATGTACTGCTATGATTTGTTTTTCTACACATCATTCAATTTCTAAGATTTCTCTGAACTACTGATAGTCGTGTTAGTCTCATTCCCTTCCAGCCTGTTTAGAAAAGAGTTGGGCCCAACGCAATGGCTCAGCGGTTAAATTCTCATGTTTTAACCACCAAGATCCCATAATGGTGCTGGTTCCTGACCCTGGCCTTAAGCACATGCATTAACTGATTCTACAGTTACTGAAGTAATTGATACAGAAGTACACTTTTATAACAAGTTACTGATTATCTTAACCTCTAACCTGCTTAATGCTATGGCTCTCCTTACACTTCTCCGTGTCAATCCTCTTTTTCCCCTTGATTTGTGACACAGGACAAGAGCCAGCTTTCCTCTGTGCTCCAACTAGCTCAGCACTGTGCTGCCTTCCTGCACTCACTATGCTACTTCATATTTCTCTATCTTTAATGTGATATTCCTACTGATTTCTTCTCACGTATCTGGGTGAACTCACCTGTTTTCAATATTTAGGCTCATTTTTAAACACTCACGAACATTTTAATCTGTTCTATTTGTATTTCGTTCTATTCCACACCACCCTCCCCTGCACCCCTCTCCCAGCGTGCGCGCGCACACACACACCACTAGTGGTTATTTTTATCCTAAAATAAGTTTGCTTCATTAAATATTAATTTTAAAGCACAAAACTATCTTGTGTCTCTTAAAAATGAAATATATAACATCCTATCAACTGCTGAGACTGATGTGAATCTATGAAAATTGTGATTATTTCTAACCGTGATTTATATTCAACCTCTTATCCAACCACAAAAGATTCACTTTCAAGAAGATTATTAATTTACTTCAAAGAGTTGGAGAGTGAGCAGATCTTCTACCCACAGGTTGACTAGGGCTGGGTCAGCCTGAAGCTAGGCGTGGGGACTGCACCCGGCTCTCCTACATTGTCAGCTGCTCTCCCAGGGCATTGGCAGGGAGCTGGATAGGAAACAGAGCAGTTGGAACGCAAGCTGGCATCCAAATAGAAGTGGATATCAAGCTGGCAACTTTAGTCACTATGCCACAACACCAGCTCACAAATGATTCACTTTCACAAAAAGAAAGTAGAAGCCATATTGCAGGAAAACTGTGGAATATATAGGGAAAAAGGCAACTAGCTTCCCTTTGATGCATTTTACTGCATCTAGAGTTGCACGTGCAGGGTTATGGGGTGTGGAGAAGTGGAAGTGTCGTGCATGTAAAGGCACACAAAATGTACAAGTCCAGACTGTGGCTGCAGTGTGTGAATTTGTGAGTATTTAGTACATTATCCACATACACTAGCTGAGCTATAAATGGTGTGCTGTGAATACACAGTGATGAGACTATTTCACAAGTGATAAATCACTTTTTTCTAACCTCCTAAATAAAGTAACTTCGAGATGAGTCTAGCCATACCGCCACACTAGTTCCCCACAGCTCACCGCGGCCCTTGCCCTCGTCCTGAGGGTGCTTCTACAAGTAGACACAGTCGCACGCACCAACGGAGCAGTTCATTAGAGCAAATGACTTAGACCATCCCTCTAACAGGTCATTTCTTACTTGATTTCCGACTCTTTTTAGTCCTGCTGTAGTCTAGCAGCTGTGGTTTGGACTTCGGTTCTTTCAGCCAGCTAATATCGGTCTTGCTGTCATCCCACCTGTATTCTGTGTCAGTATCACTAAAGAGACTTTTCTTTTCTTGATTTCTTACAACCTATGTTTAAAAAAAAAATCCTTGCAATATATGAAGACATGCATGTGTCTTACACATCACACAAAAAAGCCCCCTCAAAACTCCCAAATTGATAAATTTGTCATCTTTTATAACTGAATCCATAAATGCACATGGTGTTGAATCATTAGTGAAATTTGCATTGTGATGTCAGTGTTTTGAAAGGTCAAGAGCTTCCTTCCTCCTAGGTATAACCAGAAAGAACCAGACAGAACCAAGCACAACCATGCAAGAAAGTCAACACTGCCATTTCCCTTCCAGCAGGGATTCCATCAGAACACAGATGACCACAAAATTAAAAAAAGCACTGAATTCTGTTTTCTATTCATTAGTATGATTTGGCATTCAAAATTATAAAAAGAAATATGGTTTTTACATAAACACATCAGAATATTATAACTTACTCTTCTATCTTTTGCTTTGATAGAAGGTTCAAGTTCCTCATCATTCCTCAAAGTTCCCCTGAAACAAAAATGTTTTAATTTGAAAACGTAATTCATTCTGATTGTGATGACAGCAGGTACTGGACAGTGAAGTCTGAGTTTTGCTTAAACTCTTACAAATAATTACCATGTAATTTAGTCCCGGTCATTTAACATTTAGACCTCAATTATAGCAATAATATGGTTGGGCTAAAAGACTAAAGTCTTCTGAGTTTTATGATAAAATATACACAACTAACATCCAAAGTGAAGAGAACTGACACACTAGTTTTAGAAGTTCAGAAGAAGAGATCATGGGAGTGGACTGAAACAAAAACTTTTTCCCGACTTCTCTGTTAAAAAACTCTAGGAGCCAGGTTGTGGCACAGCAGGCTAACCCTCCTCCTCTAAGTGCTGGCATCCATATGGGCACAGGTTCACTTCCAGGCTGACTCAGTTTCCCATCCAGCTGCTCTCTGCCTGTGGCTGGGAAAGCAGGGGACGATGGCCCAGAGCTTTAGGACCCTCTGCCCATCTCAGAGATCCTGCAGGAGCTCCTGGCTCTGGCTGGGATCAGCTCAGTCCCAGCCACTGCAGCCACCTGGGAAGTGCATCAGCCAATGGCAGCTCTGCCACCTGGTCTCTGTAAATCTGCTTTTCCAATAAAAACAAACAAGTCCCAATTTAAAAAACCGGTAAGACTGGGAAGAGACAAATACAAAGAAAACACGGACATGCAGATTGGATTTGTCCTATCCAATCGTAACAGAAACACCTACAGTTCTGTTGCATTATCCACACAGGTTTCTCTAGCTTGGAACTCTTGGACCTATATTGAGAATAAACATTAAAAATAACAAAGTTTCTAGTGCCAAGATAAGGTATGTAAAATATGAAATCTTTTAAAAAATATGATTTTATAACATTCTTATAATACTTTTAAGAAACTAGCAAAATTTATTGAAGACAAATATTGTTTTAGATTTAGTGTCAGTAAGGAAAGTGATTGTCTGACTACAGTAGTCTAAATCCAACTACCCTTCCCCACAAACAGCAACAACAACACCCACATGCACCTGGCTGGCTATTTAATCAGTTATTACAGGTTTTAAATATGGTAACGCACCTGCAAGGGTCGGACATAGAAATACTCTAATTACTATTACAAATACAATTTACTGAATAACTTAAAATAACTATTGATTTATAGCTTACTCCAAGTTTTATAATAGGTTCATCAGCGCCACACAAATTAAAACTGTAAACATCATTCCTGTGAAAATTAAGGCAATTATTAGCTCCAGTATACAGAATAAATGTCAATCTCTTCAAATGGGAACAAAAATGAACAAAAAACACTTACAATGGGCATTCGGAAGTGACATTAACAAAGGTAGTCTCCAGTTTTCTGTAACTTTTTTTCTGAACCTTTTCCTAAGTATAAAAGATGTTTACATGACTTTTAAAACTCTTGATTATTATTTGTGACAAATGATATGCAATTAATTTTTTCAAGTGTTTTCCAATTCTATTTCCCCCAATATAAATCTAGCATTTCTAACATTTACCTTAGATGTAAGCTAAATGAAAACACACCCCAAAGAAACCACCATTATTGATTATTTCCATGTTAATTTAGCATTATTCACATAACGACAACCTACAACAAATTGTGACAACTACCACTACAGTGTAATATTATCCAGAGTTAAAAACAGTTTTTGCCATTCTCAACTAATCATTTTATTAATGCATATTATCATACTACAGACCTAAAATCTACTTTTAAAAAATACTGATGATTTATATACACATGCTAACAAAAAACAAAATATTGCAAGTCTAACGTATACTGGTTATATTATTAAGCGTTCATTGATCTTTTAGTATTCCATAAAAGCTGCATTTCTGTTGTAACAGAATTATCAAACAAGTATGCTTGGTATTTTCACTTCCTTTAAACTCTAAAATAGAAAACGTTTTATGTAGGCTACAGTTAGAGATATATGCAACCTAACCATAAAATACTGATGCCAGAACTTAAATTTAATTTTTTAGAAAATGTCATGAATTACCGATAAAAAAAAATCAGGTTTATTTAATACCCAGTAAAGTAGAAAGAGTAAAACTTAAAATTTTAATTTGTGATTTACCTTCTGTTTATTTTTTGCTTTTGATAATTATTTACACTATTCTAAAAAAGTTTATCCCTCAGGCTAGCGAGATTTCTTTAGTCACTTCTCCGGCACATCCTTCACAATATAATTCGCCCAGTGTACTAACTGTTAGAGAACACGCAGAAATGAGCAGCATGTCGATGAAAGTGAAGTTATTCTAGGGAACATCAACCCAGAGAACGTCACAGACACCCCGAGACCGGTGAGGATGTCACAGACACCCCGAGAGGAGTCAGAGCAGCTCCGTGCTAGTGAGCAGCAGGAGGAAGCCTGCAGTGGCACACGCCCCCAGGAGGGAAGAAGAAGCAGTGCAGTCTGTGCTGCTAGTTTTCCTAAAGTAGGCAAACTCTGAAACAAGGTTTGCAAGGAGGAATATGGTTATGATGGTCAGAAAAAAACAACAGGAGGGTTTGCCAACTCAGTTCAAAGTTCTTCCCAAAAAGCAAAAGAGAGAATATAAAAAATTAAGGACACTTTATGGAACTTCCAATTACTATGAGACTTTTCTAGCAAATTAATATTAAAAAATAAGACAGTCTTTCAGAGGGATTTGTGAGTCCCTATTTAAATCTGTGAGCAGCTTGGACTAATTAAAACTTCAGAGTAAGAGAATGCTATATGCTTCATAAAGAAAAAAACTGAAACTGAATGTACTGAATGAACCGGCACAGTGACATAGTAGAAAATACTAGACGTAAAACGAATTACAGAAAGGTAACTAACGATCCAGTTATTAGAAATTAGAACTGAAATCATGACAGAAGGAACTGGCATAGAGTGAAATTCAAAACTTCTAAATTAAGTGGGCACAGGAAGCCCTTCAGAGAAATAAATCTAACTTAATATAATCCTGTAACAGTAACATGAACAGTGATTTTAAAGACAAAATTAGAACTTTTGAAGGATATCATTGTCAGAAAAGATGGGATTGTCCAGAAAAAGTAAGGTGGTAAGAACTTACAAATCATGTACCAAAAATGGCTGGGCTCACATATGTAGCATTTCCTCTGAAAAGAGAGGTTAAGAGGGTACACAGTACTATGAAAACAGTAATCTAACTGCATTTTACTGTGATTCCATTGCAGTGTCAACACCCGAATGCTGACCGCAAGCTTCATGAAGCAGTAACCGACACTCACCTTATGGTGCTGCACAGCAGACGTGCTTGCAAAATCACTACAACGAGATTGACAAAATGTATAAAGCAATTAAATAGCAGCGTAGCCCTCACAAAAGCCACAGTGCAGGGTGAGGCCGTCAGCTCACTGCCTCTACACGCACATGCTGCGGCAGCAAAGTTACAGTGCGACAGACTAATACTCCTGAAACTTTATTCACCTATGAAAGATAAGCTGCATTATTAATTCAGCAGGTATGCCAAATGAAAAGGAATGGTTCTGTCAGGAGTCATTTTCCAAATCATATAATGAGGCCAGATTAAATCTGCATGAACAAGCCCACAAAGACATTGTTACTAAGAATTAACATTTAGAAATATTACAATTAAGAAACACTTGCCATACAAAATAACTCATTTCAGCTCATCTAAATATTGTTTCATTAGTTAATTTAAATATACTTATCCCTCAGATTTAATAGCACAATTTTTTTAAAGATTTGTTTTTATTGGAAAGTCAGATATACAGAGAGGAGGAGAGACAGAGAGGTACATTTCCATCCGATGATTCACTCCCCAAGGGGCTGCAATAGCTGGAGCTGAGCCAATCCAAAGCCAGGAGCCAGGAGCTCTTCTGGGTCTCCCATGTGGGTGCAGGGTCCCAAGGTTTTGGGCCGTCCTCCACTGCTTTCCCAGGCCACAAGCAGGGAGCTGAATGGGAAGTGGAGCTGCCATGATTAGAACTGGCACCCATATGGGATCCCAGTGAGTACAAGGTGAGGACTTTAGCCACTAGGCTACCACACCGGGCCCTAATAACACAATTCTAAAATGTCTATAGACCCTAACGATTTCTGCAACAGCATGTTTTATCAATCTGTTTTAATATTTCATAAAATGCATTCAAAATACCTAAATAGCAAATTTCTTCTTCTTTTTTTTTTTTAAGATTTATATATTTCTATTTGAAGGCAGTTACAGAGAGGAAAGAGGTTTTCCACCAATGACCACTCTGACTGGAGCTGAGCCTGTGGAGTCCAGAGGCTTTTCTGGGTCTCCCACACGGGTTCGGGGTCCCAGGAACTACAGCCACCCCCTGCTGCCTTCCTAGGCCCTAGGCAGGGCGCTGGGGTGGAAATGGAGCCACAAGGACTCGAAGTGGCAGCCACATGGGATGCAGGTCCTAAGGCAGAGGCTGAGCATATTACTCCACCATAGCACTGGTTCCAACAAACTTCAAATTTACCTCACTTCCTGTTTATGAGAGTAATAAGTAACTGTTTTCTATTGGGAAGTTACACTACTTGAACATATATTTAAAATTAACCTTTAATTTTATTATTTTAACTGACATAAAAACTGTACACAACCTTGTAGGAACTATAAAATACTTTAGTTCGTCTGTCAAAAAATATCTATTTCTAAAATCTACGAACATACCTGCCAGGCAAAGCCGCCTTCCGCTTTCCTGCGGACCCCGTGCCGTCTTGTGGCTTGTACCTCCTGTTAATCTGGCTTATTAGGGATTCTGCCACATCAGCCAATCCTTGGCCTTTTGACTTTCGTCTCTGAAATGATTTAGTTACATACAATCTTACTGGTCACCCTTCAAAGGAAAGCAGACTCCCAACATTAAATAAGCAAACTGGCTGTTTGCAGCCGCAGAAGGATGAATGAGGAGAACCGATGTGATAAGCCGACAGCTCAGAGCGCCTCAGGGTGCTCCGCAGCAGGTAAGGCACACACAACCCGGTTCCTTCAAAACAAACGTAAAACTGACAAACTTCTAACCAGGTTAACTCAGGGGAAAACGACAATCAGGAAAACCAGACGCAAAACAGGGACATGGTTGGTAACAGACTAGGTACGAAAACAAAGGACTATGCTAACTTTCCCCTTTCCACAGTGAGATGGACATACTCCTTGAAAAAGATATAGTCTGACAAAAATCATTTCACTCTTTCATCTATTACAGACACTGACTCACTGAGCCGCCTCCCAGAGCTGCAGGCACCAGGCCCCGGAGCCAGCAGTGAAGGGGCAGGTCTGTCAATCTGCAACGCTCCCCCAGCCAGCGCAGAGGAAATACCTCCCGACTCAACCTCTGGAGCCAGCATCGCTGACCTACTGATCAGACCAATTCCACACTCCCTGGTGAGCAGATACAAGAGGCCAAGCTGAAGATTCTCCCGCGGGACCCCAACCACACCATCCTAGAGAAACGGACTGAAAGGATGGATCTTCGTACGAGTTTGGTGGAAGGGACAGAGCCATGAAACACGAGGCGATCCTGGGCAAGTAAAACTGTGCTGTATGATACTTCAATGGTGGGCATATGTTACAGGTGTGTGTCACAACACAGAACATACAACAAGGAGAGTGAATTTTAATGTAAACTGTGGCCTTAAGTGAATAACAACACATTTAACAAAGATCACACACAAATGCAAGAATATGGGAATGGTTGAAAGAGTACAACATATGTCTGCATACTTTGCACTTAAACCTCAAACTGCTCTAAAAATTAAAATTCTGATTTTTAAATGGTAATTACAAAGAATTATCAGTGTAATTTAAAGCAATTTAGTTTTTACAAGTTTCAACAGTACTTGAAGATATAAGGGCTCCTGAATTGATGTGTTTTTTCTCAGTATCAGACATGTTCTATGTTTGTAGTAACACAGATACCGAACAAAGTCTATATTCTGAAACATTCTAAATTCATATTAATATATATAATGTACATATATGTATATAATGTAGCTATCATATAAAATATATATAGCCCCTATAATATACCTATTATATATAATATATATAGCCCCTATGGGAGATATATATATATGTATATGGTACATTTTTGTTGACTGTCCCTGCTTAAGATTATCAGGGCAGGGTTAAGACAGTACTTGGCTTGATAAAAAAAATAACAAAAATGAATGTCTAATACTACTATGGATTCAGCTGGGAAATTTATGGTATGAAGAGAACGTCTGCAATTTTTTTCAAGATTTATTCTTATTTATTTGTAAAGCTGAGTTACAAAGAAAGAGACAGAAAAATCTGCATGCTCTGGTCACTGCCAAATGGCCACAATGGCCACAGCGGGGCCAGTCAGGAGCCAGGAGCCCCTTCCAGGTCTCTTAGTTGAATGCAGAAGCCCAACCACTTGATCCATCCCCTTGGCCCTTCCTGGCAGCTCAGCAGGGAGCTGGATCAGAACCGGAGCAGCCAGCGCCTCAGAGCAGCGCTCCTGCGGGATGCTGATGTCCAAGCAGAGTAAGTTTAACTTTCAAAACATCAGAGTACAGCTTGTAAGAGGTTAGGTTTCTGTGCTTCCAGAGAAAGAAATGACTAGTTCAGGCAAATTTTCTGGAATAGTTCTAAACTCTAAAGTAAATAATGTTAAATTACTATTCAGCTGAATAGTAATCTATAGCCATTTTAAGGTGTTTAGGACCCGTTTGTATATAAACTAAAATTGAAATGTCAATGAAGTCGTCACGGGATGTGGTTAAGAACTTGCATTTTTTTTTAACATATTGGTTACTCAATACTATGTCAATTAATTCCATAACGTTATAAATTGTTGCTGATGTTATGTTGGGGCTTTTAATTGATCGGGATGATACTCAGACCAGAGATGGTCTCCCCAACAAGCCGTTGAACTTATCTGGACAATAAGATGCTGGACTCTATGCTTGGTATATGCTTGCAATGAAAGAATCTCAACTGAACTTGAACTGTGGTAATGCAACAAGGTGGAGGAATCCACCATGGGGGGAGGGTTTGGAGAGGGGTGGGGGGAATCCCAATACCTATAAAACTGTGTCACATAATGCAATGTAATTAATAATTTTAAAAAGATATGTAAAACATTTCAGCATCTTTTCTATTGGAAATGATACAACAAAATTTAAAAAAATACAAGTAGAAAAAATGTTAAATTAAAATTTAAGGATATTCTTGTGTTTAGACAAAAAGAATCTTACTTAAGACTAAGTAAATTTAATAGCTAAAACAGAAAAAGGGTAGGCACTGTGGTGCAGCAAGGATAAAGCGACTGACACCTGCACCCTGCCTGGGAGCGCCTCGTGTGTCCTGGCTACCCGTGCTTCTGATCCACCTTCCCGCCAGTTCTGGGGATGCAGATGGCGGTTCAGGTGACCAGGGAGATGCAGGCCAAGCTCCTGGCTCCTGCCTCACCCAGCCTAGCTTTTGTGAACACTGGCCGACTAAACCAGCAGGTGGAGATTCAGTGTATCCCTTTTCCTCCTCTTTAAGAAGGAAAAAAAAAAATGGAGAGCAAAACCTCAAAAAGAATAGCATACCAGGAACAAGAAAAAATGGTTTAAAAGGATGTCCTTACATATCAGGAACAAAAAGTGAGCTGCAGATTACAAAACACATTTCTTTTAAAGGAGACTGGGCAAGATAAATAATGTCCAATTATACATTATAAATTTTCTTTAAATATTCACACACTAAGATGCCCTAAAGCATGAGCATTTCATAGTACTCTAGTATACCTAGGTTATTATCAACATCGCAGAAGATGGACCGATAAGAGCCTCGTAAAACAGGACTCTTCGGAACAGCAAAAGCAAGTTACATTATTGGAAGTGGATATGTATTCTGATTGAAAACTTTTCTTACTCCATCTTGATAGCAATGACAACTATTACACAGAGCATTGTGAAGCAAAGTATCTACAATGGAAGAGAAGGGGGCTTCAACAAGGGAGAGCAACAGCTACGGGCTGAAAATAGACCCCTGCACCTGAAAAACCAGATCAAGGTTTAATGCACTCAATCAAGGATCGTGCACTAAAACGTAACAGAACTGTGCCAGGACATGCAGGAAAGCAAATGTTGAACACAGTCCTTACTGTCTTTTTTCAGATTTACTCATTTATTTTTATTGGAAAGTCAGATACAGAGAGAAGAGACAGAGAGGATCTTTCTTCTGCCGATCACTCCCCAAGTGGCCACAAAAGCTGGAGCTCAGCTGATCCGAAGCCAGGAGCCAGCTCTGGGTCTGCCACGCGGGTGCAGGTCCCAAGGCCTCCGGCTGTCCTTGACTGCTTTCTCAGGCCACAAGGCATGAGCTAGACGGAAAGCAGGGTGGCCAGGATTAGAACCAGCACTCACATGTGGCCCAGTGTGTGCAAGGCGGACTTTAGCCACTAGCCTACAGTGCTGGGCCCAGTCCTTACTCTTAACAGGTTACTATTACAAAGGGGACATATACAGCCTCACTTATAAAAGAAAGCCAAGTATCCAAGAGTCAATATTTCTGTAAGCACTCTGATTATAATAAAGTACAGGGAGAAAGGAACTGTAAGACTCATTTATTCTATACATCTTGTCACGCCTGGTGTTTGCCTGGGATTCGAGAAGGATATGTGTCCCTTCAGGAGGAACACAGTCTGCACCCCCAGGCTCTGAACAAACAACAAGGATGACACAGTTTACATCCGTGGCTCCAATCAGGCTCTCCACGCCTCAGGTAACATTCGCATGGGGAGACGCAGGTCCAAAGAACCAAAAGCTCACCTGTTTTTGTTTCAAATCCAAGGAAGTCAAATCTTTCTCTGATTTTCTTCGACTTTTCACGTTTTTTCTAGAAGGGCTTCTGCCACAAACGGCAGTGTGCACGTCTTTAGACAGTGTGTATTTCTTCCTATAAATCAAAGATTCTTCAACTGTCTTATTCAGGAGAACGGATTTAAAAGTAGTTGCAGATTCAATACGCCAATCACCCTGCTTCGTAGTTTCAGAATTACTTCGCTCTGAGTACTTAGCATGAGTTTGTTGCTGCTGGCTGCTGCAAACGCCGACTTCTGCTCTACCTCTTCTGTGTTTCACAACATCTTTCTTGCATTTCACTTTCTCTGTTTCTACAGAATCCTCAGACACCGAAGAGGATGATCTTCGTTTAGGAAATGTCTCATTAACAACATCTATAAAGAGAAGTAATTCATAAATGTAAACTATGAAATTTGCTAAAATTTAATGTAAAGGTAAATGCTAAAAAATGAATGCTTCTCTGAAGTATTATTACATTTTACCTTCATTAGACATGTTTGATAAAGTGCTTGCTCTCTGTTTATTACAGATTTTAATGTTTGTTACAGGTGTCCAACACGCCAACTTGGAGCACATCTTATCTCCATATATGTCAGAAATACCAGAAAATCTAGAAAATGAATTCATCTGGTTATAAAATGCTATCATAAGACTCTAAGACTTTGATTTTCAAAATTTAGCCAATATTTAAAACAACCTAACAAATAGGGTGATATTTATAAGTCATGATAAAAACTAAAATTATATAATTGACCATATAGAAGCATAAGAGAACGTACTGCTACTGCTCTGGTACCCATCTCAACACACATTTCTCTACTTTCTTTCCATCCATATTATCACTTAGAAAAAATAACATTCATTTTAACTCTCTCAAAAAGTTATACTGGTTTAAATGGAAAAAAGTATACGCTGTTTCTCATTATATTTTCATACTGCTTGAGGTATTATTAATGCTACAATACTATAACAACATACAGGTCTTTTCTTCCAAATCTGGCCTATTTGTCTAGAACAGCACTCACACACTACGTTACCCAGTGGGCTCCTTATACTCACATAGATTCATCTCCTCTTCCCCCTGCCTGTGAATCAGGAACACCACCCTGGAGCTCATCTAAAGAAAGCAAAACTTTCGGTATTTTCATTTGTCCATAATTGGCAAAGTGAAATGGGAGTTCCCACACATTCTGCAAGGTTCACCCTTTGGGTTTAAGAGGCTGACTACATCTCGCTCAGACCCCGATTCCCTGGGCATACAGCTGTACACTGCCTTGTAGTATCAGACGTTCTTTGACAAAGCCAAACACATTCACTATAAACTTTTTTCAAACTAATGAAAACCAACGATTAAAGGGACCTGTATTATATTTAAAGAGTAACAAATTAAACCAATAAATACTTACTAAAATTTTGCTTTGTGAATTCAATATCCTTATTTTTTGTCTTTTCTACAGTTGTAGCAGTTTTGATATACTACAAACACAGAAAATATGTTAATGTGAAATCAAACTGAGGCTATTAAATGAAAGCAAATTTTAAGTCAGATATGAATACTGGGCGAGTCTGCTTTGCTAAGCAAAGCTGGGTAGTATCTATGCCCATTTCATAAACATCATGCCCACACTAGAATACTGTTTATCCAAAACTACAAGATAATAACATGCACTGTAGATGCGGAGGAAGTCTTACAAATGTTCTCATTATGTCCACAACAGTGTTATCATTTTCATGACTGGTAATTTCTAGAATTTTTGTGGCAGATCTGTTCCTGCAGCTCTCATACATTCTTTTTTTTCTTTTTAACTGAAGTAGAGACTTGAAATCTACGTAATATTTAATGATTCTAAAACTTCGGCTATTGCCCAGGTAATATCTTGCCTGCACCAAGCTTCTCTCTTCCTACAGCTGCAGACTCACCTTAAGTCAAATAAAATCCTTGTCTGTTTTAGGAAAACACACCATTTAGCCTAAGACAGTTAACCTCATTCTTTCTCCCTCTTTGTAAAATTATTCTATCCAGTATTTCTCTATACTGTAAGCGAACATTATCAAGTACGCAGACACGTTTTTGATGGCTGCAAGGACACAGGGCTCTCGACAGTGAGTAGCATAGCCCTCGCTGGGACACTCAACAACCTACAACACACTTTATACACACAACATTCAGGCAGACCTTTCAGATCATAACTGACTACTTTTTCCCAGTGGAGTATATTAAATTCTTATCTTTTATCATTCTGCTACATATACTTTTGAATTAAAAATAACTTTGTATCACTGTTATATCATTAATTAAAAAATACACCAATTGCTTTTTCCTGTATCATTAAAGCTAGCAAGCTTTGAGGAAACTGTTGGCCATGGTAATGAACTGAGGCCATGGTATTATCAGCCTTAATTTGGTCCCTCAAAATTGACTACATGTAATGCACATTCCTAGGCGTTTCCGTGTGCCCCCTCCCCGTAGCAGCCATTCCCCACCGTCCTGTCCCTTAGCACTGCTTGCCAGGGCTCCAGGGTAAACTCACCACCTTAATGGCAAGCTTCATTTTTTTCTAAGCATTTTATCAGTTACAGTAAACGAATGTACATAATTGTTATCACATTAACGAGCCACGTTAGAGGGACTCTGCTTTCATGAACAGTAAGTGGCATCTGCGAAAAAAAAACGTTTAACAAAGCATGACATCTGCCTGCAAGAGGAATGAACTCAGCATGCATTTCTACAGCAGCTTGTAAAAATTCACTTAAAACTACTTCCAAAGAAGTTACTTTGTCTGTGCTGTCTCCTCCATTTCTTTCTTGAGATGGTCTAGACATAAGTGACATGACATCCAGTCCATCCTTTGCCGTTCTGGAAACACCAGCTTTTTCTGCAGAAGGAACCACGTGCAGGGGTGGCTTACATCTTCCTCTTCGTGGTGCTAAAAAGGAGGAAAGAGGAAAACTGAACTTGTTAAACTTATTTCTGCTTTTGAGGTAATTTTTCCAATGAAAAGGCAAGAGAAGGAGGCTCTGGGACACCACCCAGGTTTCTGCGTTAGATGAATCAGTGCATATGGAAGCCATCTGCCTGTGTAAGAATTTGGGGAAAATGGCAGAGAAGGCAAAGATGAATATAGCCTTGGACCTATCCATTTGATGAGACCGTAATATATCAGGTAGTTGTCCCAACAGCCAACCTGATTTTTGGAAGGACTCAATCAGACTTTATTAAGAGCAAACAGTATATACAGTATCAATTTTTAAAGTTAAGTCTTAATGTGTGCCATGTTCCTATTTTACAGCATTTTTTTGTTAAAATTTGTATTCAATCTTATCAACTCCTTCATGACGTTGACAGGTTAGTTTTATTCTATATGACACAAAGTGGTCCTGGACTTAGCCAGAGGATCGGCTGTCCAGGCCTGACTCTGTTCCAATGTGACAGTCTTCGTATCGAATAGCACTCTTTTGGCAACTGCTTACACATTAGTATCTAGCATTCTTTCCTTCTCATTAAGACATTTGGGAATGATATCTGATCAAAGTTTACATCCCCAAATTATTCCTAGGTAAATCAGGTTCAGAGTTTTCCTTGAATTAGAAATAAAAATGCCTCCTTTAGAAAAGATAATATATATAAAAACTCTTTAAAAACTATACAACTTACTTGCATTGGTTAAGAGCATTGGACTCCGCACAGTGTATCTGTCTGCACCGGGAACAACCATCGAGGCTTCAGACACTTTCATTTTGTTAGGAGTCATTACCTTAAACCGTGAGGAAAACAACACCGCAGTAAACCAAAGATTCCCTTTTAAACAATTTACACGTTTAACTCATTGCCTTGATCACACACATAGTTTTTTCCCTTACAAACAATGGCAGGTACAGAAATTTCTGTTTCAGCCTGATTTGAAGGGCTCTGTCTTTGTTTTATAGTCAACCAGTAGCCAAAGCAAGTGAGCATTTTAATGTTTATTTTGCATAATACAGTTCCATAGGCTCAGGGTTTACCCTCTCACCCAAATCATCCCAAATGATTTGTAAGAGTGACGAAAGTCTATAAGCACAATTATGAACTACAGGGGCCAGCACAGTGGTGTAGAAGGCTAATCCTCCAACCTGTGGCACTGCCATCCATATGGTGGCCACCAGTCCATGTTCTGGCTGCTTATGATCTGGGAAAGCAGCAGTGGATGATCAAAGTCCTAGGACCCTACAACCACGTGGCAGACACAGAAATCCTTGGCTTCAGCTCACGATCAGCTCAGTTGCAGCCACTGGTGAGTGAACCAGCAAATGAAGAACTTGGGTCTCTCCTTTTCTCTCCAGGTAAAATCTACCTTTTCGGGCCCAGTATGGTCGCCTAGCACCTAAGGTCCTTATCTTGAAGTGTCCGGATCCCAAATGGGCGCCAGTTCTAATCCTGGCAGCTCCACTTCCCATCCAGCTCCCTGCCTGTGGCCTGGGAAAGCAGCCGAGGACGGCCCAAAGCCTTGGGACCCTGCACCCAAGTGGGAGACCTGGAACTAGCTCCTGGCTCCTGGCTTCGGATTGGATCAGCACCAGCCATTGCAGTCACTTGGGGAATGAATCATCGGACGGAAGATCTTCCTCTCTGTCTTTCCTCCTCTCTTTATATCTGATTTTGCAATAAAGATAAATACATCTTTTTTTTTTTAATCTGCCTTTCAAATAAAAATAAGTAAATCATTACAAAGAGATGAACTATAAATGGTAAGACTGTCAGAGAATATCATCTAAAGCGGTAGGTAAGTCACATCCTGGATAAAGACACAAGAGACCTGCTTTTCAATAGAATGCACCTACTTTGAACTTAAACCAAAAATGAGGAAGTTTGGAGTAAATATGTGTAGGGTAACGGAGAGTGTATGCAGGCTAAGAGGAAAGAGAACAATAAGACTAATAAAAAATTAAGCTTCTCAATTAGATTAAGAAATTATAGTTCCTGGTGGCAGAATGAATAGAACTTGAAAAATTACTTATTCACAACGATGCCTCAAACAGTTGATCCTTACTGAAATCACCGTGTGCAACAGTGGCTTGGGCTTCTCCCACTGCAGTGTGCTGAGGAGCTTTTCCGAATCCTTCTGCTTCAGCAGGCTCAAGGCAGTGTCTAAGAATCAGCATCTGAATGAACCCTCAGTATCACACTGATAATACACAGAGCTAGCTATCATGATGTAATGGAAATTAAAAATGACTTATTAATTTAACTGAAAGAAACTGGTAACAGAAAGGGGCCAAGGTGTTTAAGCACCCGTGAGAGTATAACAGCCAAACAGTAGAAGATTCATAAGAATAAGATAAATGAGAGCTATGAAAAAAGGAAAATTAAGATTTACAAATATACACATGCTCTACATAAGATTAAATAAATGCAGGAGACAGCAAGTGTAGCAGTCAGGAGGCAAGGATGAGCATGCCATGCAAGCAGCAAAAGAAAGGATCAAAGAGGAGACTTACCTGTACTATGACTTTAAATAGAAGAAATAAAAACACAGAATGTAAATTATTTAATGGGGTAAACATGGGGATCATCTAGATACTGTTATTTCAGAGAAACAATTCCCGGTGTAACAGAAAAGCAACAGGTCAAGTGAACTCGAATGCTGAGTGAGCAGCAGTGGGCAGGCAAGGATGCGAGACGCGAAGGACACCCTAGGCGCCTTGGCTCTGAGACACGAGGAAGAACAGTGTCAAGAAGGGAATCAGCAATGTCACCAAGCCGGGACTGGAGCACTGCAGGAAGGACGCAGGCAAAGCCCAGAATGCCTTAGACTTCAGCAAAGAACTCAAGAGGGACACAAAAGGGAATCATAATGAAGGAGAGGTTTACACAACTTTGAATTCTGGTGCTAATTTGTAAGAGCTCAAATTACACAAAGACATTTAAGCTGGAGTTTTTAGAATAGGCATAAATAAAGGTGAGGAAAGAACTCTTTTAACTGTAATAAGGAAGAAATTTAGTGTGCTAAAATGGCAGTCCAAGAAGGAGAGGACTAAGCTTGTCAACAAAGGCAAATGTCAAGGTCACAATGGGAATGGAGAGAAGGTTCAGTAACAGTTACATCAGATATGGCCTGCAGATAGATCTTCAATGGAAGAGGAGGAAAATTAGTAAGAAAAGGAAGCTACTATTTTTGTTTCTTTAAGATTTTCTTTTTTTAATTTTTGTTGCAAAGTCAGATATAGAGAGGAGGAGAGACAGAGAGGAAGATCTTCTGTCTGATGATTCACTCCCCAAGTGACTGCAATGGCCAGTGCTGCGCAGATTTGAAGCTAGGAGCTAGTTCCAGGTCTCCCACTTGGGTGCAGGGTCCCAAGGCTTTGGGCCGTCCTCGGCTGCTTTCCCAGGCCACAAGCAGGGAGCTGGGTGAGCCAGGATTAGAACTGGCGCCCATATGGGATCCGGGCATGGTGAAGATGAGGACTTTAGCCACTAGGCCACCGCACTGGGACCTATTTTTCTTCCTTTCTTCATGCAAATAAAGATTACAAATTTGTATTTTGCTTGCACACTATAAGTGCAAACAATGCAAAAAGCAACGATTATCCTCCTATGTATCTGATTTGGAATTCACACGTATGTAGTTTGTCCTAATCCCTAGTGCCTACATACGTAGACAGTTTGCTAAAGTGCTATGTTTTGTTTACATTTGTAAAAGGCAGGGAAAACTTCAGAAATATGACTAATAAAGGGCATTAATAAATTATAAATGCCTTCTGTACTTACACAGAAATAATTTGATCTACACTGATCTAAGCACTTACCTTGAGATGACTCTTTTTCCTCCTGTCTTGTTGGTAAGGGTCTCCGACAGGTTTCGGCGGGTTAGCACATTCCGGCCGAGGCTCCCCGTGTGCTTTAGGGAGTTCTTCCTCCACTGAGGAGATCTGACTTTCTGGCACTAGAATCTGTGGAAGTCAGACTAAGTATTTACAACTGAACAGCACAGGAGACCTCAGAGATCACTGAGCCACATCTTACACCTGCAGATGTTCATTCTCTCTGTATCTACGGACTCTACATTGCAGAGTGATCCCACAAAAGCCACTGACTGCACGTGTTAGCACACACAAGTCACCACTGATTAGCCTACATGTCCAAATTTTAGGTAGCCCAATTGGCATTCACAGTCCTAACCTTTGTACTAAAATTAACTGCCACTAAAAGCCTGTTCCAGAGTCACATGTATTTTCTCAGAGCTCTGAGCCAACTGTTTTTAGTACATTCACTTTCCAACATCAACTTTATTGCTGTGTCAGTATTTAGGGTAAAACTTCATAACAGTTACGTTAGAGATATACCTGCGATCCACTTGCATCAAAGAGTATATGCACTGATGTCTTGGCAACCGAAATGCCTTGCTTTCTGGTAAATTCCTAAAATTAAGTAAATCCAAAGTGATATAGTTTGTATTTTCTTTCCATTTAATGCACTTATTTACCACCTTTCTTCCCATATCATCTTTACAAATCAAAGAAATCTTCAAAAAGCTCATGGAGGTGTGTCAGTAAACAGTATGAATTTCAATTTTTTTAAAGTTTCTTTGAAAGTCACAGCTACCAAGAGCCAGGGAGAGACAAGAGATCTTTCATGTGCAGTTCATTCTTCAGATGGCTGCCAAGGTGAGCACTGTGCCAGGCCAGAGGCTGGAGTGACAGCTTCCCCCAGTGCCACGTGGATGCAGGGCTATCTTCTGGGCTCTTCCCTCCAGTCACGTGGCCACGGAGCTGGACGAGAAGTGGGGCAGTGGGGACATGTACACACCAGATCCCATATGGGATGTTGGTATCACAGGTGATGGCTTTACCCTTTACTCTGGAAACAGGAATTTCAATTTTCTACACCAAAGTAAACATTTTTTTTCCATGAAACTTTATGCCAGGAATAGATAAAACAAATAAAACTATCCACTGATTTATAACCAGATGACCCTGTTTGTGCAGAAAGCCATGAGCTCGCTGTGGCTTTCCCACAGCGGGACAGGCATACAGTTACCTGAGCCATCAGCAGGAGGTTGGAGGCAGGAGCTAGAGCTTAGGGTTTAACCCCAACATTCTGAAATGGGATAGGAGACATCCTGAACACCAGGCCAGTGAACAGTTTCCTTCCATGAACTTTTTGAAGAACCCTTAAATATCATCTGATGTTCTTGAGCATAAGTCTTATATTACACAAACTTGTCCATAAGAGAATGTCCCTAAAACATCATTACCTTAGATTCTCAAATAATATTTTCTTAAAATATTTTCTGCAACCTGGAGAGTATCTTATTTAAACCCTATTCTTGCCACTTCTTTATCAAACACTTTTTATAGATTTTATTTATTGAAAAGCAGAGTTCAGAAACGGAGTGAGAGATCTTCCATCCACCAATTCATTACCCAGACAGTGCAGCACCAGCGCTGTGTGGGGCCAAAGCCAGGGTCAGGAGCTTCCTCTAGCCTCCCATGTGGGTGCAGGGACACTCTGCTGCACACCCAGGTACACAGCAGGGAGCTGGGGCATAAGTAGACCAGTCAGGACTCGAACCAGAGCATCTAGAGGATGCCGGCCCTGCAGCCAAAGGCTTAATCTGTGACACCACTGTGTGAACCTGCTCTTGCCATTTCAAGCCCCATCTTCACAATAAAGCAAATCTTTTTTTTTTTTTACTTCAAAAACCTGACTCTTCTGAGAATTCTTTCTTCAATTTCTATAGTTCCTTTTCCTTAGGCCAAATATTTACTTTTTGGGGGGCTTTCATCTGTATAATTCTCACAACGTCTAAATCACTGGAAATAGTGCTTTACCTCATTTTACTTCGTGAAACAACCTGAAGAAAATCACTGAATGTTAAAACAGCTAATGCTAACTTTTTCATTGGAGATAACTCTCTCACAGGTATCTCAGAGGATATGGCTAACTCACAGTTATTCAGCAGTACAAACTAAAAAAAAATGCACATATTTCTGAAATAATTCTAGGAGTAAAAAGCAGCAGAAACGTTGGAAGTACGTAAGAGTTTAAACACTTACCCCATTTTTATTTGCACCAAAAATTTTTTTAGTTACATCACTGATTTCTAGTGATTCATCAAAATATAAAAACAATTCTTTTCCTTCTCTTTTACTAATTTTTATTGTGTTTTTCAGGATTATATTCAGTAGTTTCTTTGATTCTCTCACTGCACAAACAGAATCATATTGATTAGTGCATACTGATTTCTATCATATCATTCTGTGAATATGTAAGAAAGCATGCAAAACACTCATTCAAATTATTTAACATTCAAACTTTCAGAACTGAATGCTTAATTGGTTCCAGTATTATCTACTTAATCACATCAATTTACCTTTAAGACTCAGTGTCTTCATCTGTGAAATAGTAACGAGTCCCAAGTAAGTTCTAGACTCTAAAACATTCTTAACAAAATATTCCTTGAACACATATTAGAAACCTATTTTCTTCAAACGGCAAAAAGGTAGCTTTAAGTCCATATAATTACTACATTTCTATGTAGAGCTATCAGGCGTTTCTCTCAAATTCACAGATATGGATAGAGCACATGAAACACAAATGGAATACTCAGAAATCAGCCTCCAACAGCAGCCGCTCCATCCCTTCTGTTTACACGAATATTTATATCAGTATTTATAATAGCTAAAAGTAACACTGCAAATGCCCACTGACAGCTATAGGGATAAACAAATTGAATCATGCTCATACGATGGAAAGCTACCCAGGAAAAGGCAAAGCCACTGTCTATGCAAAATAAGAACACAAAAACTGCTACGTATTGTCTGAATCAATGTTTATAAATTCTACAAAATACAAGCTGATCTAAGGTGAAGCAATCAGTGATTGCCTGCAGGGTCAGTATGAGATGGAATACACGGATTATAAGAAACAGGTACATCTTGCAAAGAATATGCTCCTATGTTCCCATGACAGTTTTATGTATGTATACTCATCCACCTGATGAATGCAGCTGCCCCAAACCCCTTCAGCTAACATCCTTACAGTAATATGCTGACTGTTTTTCCCCTAAGTTAAGATTACACTGGTTGACTACTGGGGGTCCCAGGCTGGGTCAGACTCCAGGCATGGGGTCTTGGCTCCAGCCACCATGACAACATGGTGTGCTGGGCCCAAGCAGCCAATGAACCATTCGGCACCAGGCTCCGCTTGCTGACCACCCAGCAGCGAGCTCTGGAGTCATGGAATTGCTGCCTAGGTATGTCCATGTTGAGGCCACTGTGCGTGTGGGTTGGAATCAATCCTGAGGGACACCCAACAACAGGGTAACTTTTCCTTGAAGGTAAGCCAGGGTACTGAAACATGGTGGTTTGGAGGAGAGAGACCAGACGATCTGTATGGGTCAGCTTGATACACCAGCCCACTTGTGAGTCCTGTGTAGAACTTGGTATCACCAAACAATGCTGACCACACAAGTCCATGCCAAAGCTAAGGCTGGGGACTTGTCTAGCAGGGCTAGATCCTAGTACCTGACAGAATGTTCCATCAGGGGACGCGTCACATTAGGCAGGGCCATGACACTAACCAGCCCATGAGAGAACCACGTCTGGCTGTAGATTCTGTGAGGGATGTGTGGGCCAAACCCTGTAGAAATACTAGTCCTGCTGGTTAGCTCAAGAGTTGAGGTGGTGACGAGCTGAGCTAGGTGTGACCATGGACCCTGCCATCACTCACGGGTAAAGGAACTGACAACAACCTGGGCAGATCAAGGCAGCAGCAGCTGAATGTGCACCCTGAAACAGGGTGCGAAGTAGGCCGGGCTGCAAAGTTCACCCGCTCATACAAGGCCAACATGGAAGGGCAGACTAGGCAGGGCACTGGCCTAACACCCTCTGGCATGTATGAGATCTGGGTCTGAGAGTGGGTCAAGCGGGGGAACTTGGGGAAACCCTCTAGTGGGTCACAACTCTCACTGATCATCACATGGTCCAGGCCTGGGGGTCGGGCAAGCTGAAGAAAGTGTGTGGCTAATGTGTGAGTTGGTGATGAAAGGGGATGGACCAGGCAGGGCTGAGCAAAGCTTAGCTCACAAGTAAAAATCAGAAATCAGGCTGGAGCACAGGTCATGCCAAGCTAGGATCTTACACCTACTGGTCTGCATGAGTCAGAAAAACTAGGCCACAGCATCTAAGGCAAAGGCCAAGACAATAGAGGAGTTATGCTAAGCTAGGGCAGAGCAACTACTGGCACGCGAGCAATCCATGGCTAGGAACAGGCCTGGTTGGGGAGCTAAGACAACACCCCGGCTGGGTTGGGGTTCCCACTGGTGAGTGCGGGGGCCGGAGTGGGGGTTGTGTTCTGGTCTGGATATAGCTGCACTGTCCCTTGGCACAAGTGTGGACTGGGACTGGGCGTACCAAGCCCGCTAGACTCCAGCACTACCTGGAGGCAGGACGGACTAGCCTAGATCTCTGTCCCTACCGACCATGTGTGAGTTGTGTCTGGGTATGGACGAGCCTTGGTTGGGATGAAACATCCAACAGTAAGAACCTGAATGGACTGAAGGCCAGTCAGGAAAGGCCACCGTTCCTGCCACGACAGGAGTTGGATTAAGTAGAGCTGGCTCATGGGCCCACTGGTATGCACGAGATCTGGCATGGGGAGAGGTTCTGATGGAGGAGCCTGGGCAACTCCTCTGGCAGGACACAGTCCCTGCAGTGAGCGCAAAAAACAAGAAAGGGAGCAGCCCTGACAAGACCAGGGAAAGGTACCACCAGCATATATTTGGCACAAGTCAGGTGCCAACCAGGCTAAAGCAGTTCACACCACCTGCTGGTGAGTCCAAGCACCAGAACAGAGTGTAGGTTGGGTCAGGTTTGGCCACAACACATACCAGTGCACATTAAGGCTGGGATGGGCCAGGCTGTAATCCTCACGAGCGTGAGCTGGAGTCGGGGGTGGGCTGGGCCTGGCTAGGCTACAGCACCCACTGGCAAATGCCGAGGTGTGGGGAGGGAGGTATGCCAGACTGGGCCACAGCACCCAACCAGCACACGTGAGAACCAGCAGGGGAGAGTGAAAAGCCGGTTGGGGGAATGAGGAAGGCTCCCCTGCTGGATAGCCACTCCCACTGGAGAGCATGAGTTGGGATGAGGGCAGACCAGACCAGGCACAGTTAAAACACCTGCTGGCTTTATGTGAGCTAGATTAGGGAAAGGCCACGCTGAGGTGACTGTGGGTAAAGGTTGCTTTGGTTTTGCTGCAGCATTAGCTGGCAGATGCTGGCACTGGGGACTAATTCTGTCAAGTTAAACTGCAGAATCACCTGGAGTGTGCATGTTCCAGGAGTGGGAGTGGCTCAACAGGGAAATAGTGGGCACCTCCCTCTTGGCTTATCACTCCCACTGGAGAATATGAAAACCAGGACTGGGGCAGCTGCAGCTAGACAGAACGGCACCCGCCAGCTGGATAGGGAGGCTGGTTGGGTGGAGCTAGGCTTCAATGCCCATTGACATGTGTGATTGCTGAATGGGATGTGAGACAGACTGGACCAGTCTGCCACACATACTGGCAAGCACGGGAACCAGGGCAGGGGGTAGGCCTGGTGGGGCTATTGCAGGTCACTCAGACTAGGCTGCAGCTCCCACTGGTTTGTGTGAGGACCGAGTGTGTGCTGGGCAGCATCAGGCTGGACTGCAACACCCACTGGTTTGTGTGGAAGACAGGGCTGGAAACAGAACTGATCCAGCAATTGCAACCACCAGCATGTGCATAAGCTGACTGGGCGATGGACTGTCCCAGACCCTGTACTGGCACGCACACCTAAGAATCAGGTCTGGGATCACCTCAGATGAAGTTTCTTTGGGATTGCTCTGACTGAACTGCTGATCTCAGAATCCCAACCAAGAGAAGTGCAGGTTCCATGGTCCACTTTCCTGTAGCCCTTGACCCTTTGTGCCTTAATCAACTATGTAAAGATTATCAAAATAATTATTTTTTAAAAAACTGCACAGTAGCCAGAGGCTCACCTCCATCACTTCTGTGAACAGTACACTAGAGGCTCCATCCATAACGAGGTGCAAAGGACGGTGGGAGTGTGAGGAGGCAGGGAAGGACAATGGCAGAGTGTGTAAGGAACGTGAAGTGGTCACCTTGCAGCTACACTTTCAGACTATCCTCAAAAACCACCGCTTCTCCGCTAACAGGGGCAATTTGGCAAGGTACAACACAAGATAAATATCTGAAAAATAATCCCAGTTTTATATACCAGTAAAATATTTATAAATGAAGTTAAAGATCAATTATATTTACAACTACACAAGACTGGATATTTATAAATGAATTCTTCAGAAAGTGCTGAGACTTTTACAATTAAAACTACAAAATGTTTAGAGAAATCAAAGACCTAAATGGAGCGTAGACTGCATCTATGGGCTGAACGCCTGATGTCAACATGTTATTTCTCTCATGTTAATCGATAGCCACATAACTTTAGCAAGGTTTTTTGCGTGTTTCTGAGTGTTAAATACCAAAACTTAAACTGAAAATTCAAAAGGTCTAAAATTTCCAAAGCAATCTTCAATAAAACCCAGAGTGGGAAAGCCGCTGTAGCTGACTGATACTAACGACATCACCACAATCACAGCCCTGTGGGACTTAGGACTAATGCGATGCAGCACAGCATGAGAAAAAGATCTTGCTGCAGACCACCATGCAGGTTCTCAACTCAAAGGAACTAAAACCCCCACTTGAAAAATTATTTTAACAGATAATCGTGAAGTAACTGTATTTCCATACCCAAAAGATGAACCTATAATCACACACATTTCACCCTAACCAGACAGTAATGAGATGCAGCATAAGAAACATTAAAGTTAAGCCATAATATTTTCTACAAAAACAAGAGAAAAATCTTTGTAGCTTAGGAGCATGTAAAAATTTCTTAGGTCACAGAATAGAATCAAAAAAAAGAAATGAACTGTGGTCACGCAACAAGGTGGAGGAATCCTCCATGGGGGGAGGGTTATGGAAGGGTTAGTGGGAATCCCAGTACCTACGAAACTGTGTCACATAATACAATGTTATTAAAAAAATAAATAATAAATAAATAAATAAAAGCAATGAAACTTGTATTGTGACTTTAAATTTCAAAACATGAAAAATGAATAAATAAGTTACAGGCTGGGAAAAGTACAGAAGCTCCGTTGAGGACTGGTGTCCGGAATACCTGAGAACTACTGAGTGGGAACGGCCAAGAAGCGCATCACCTAGCGTCGAGCGGCATGAAGCACACGGACGCGCTGGAGCCACTGGTGACCAGGACAAGGCGAATCCCAGCGAGGCGCCAGCACAGGCTGCTCCCTGATCAGAACATCATCCTGTCTGATCTCAAGGGCTCCCACCTACCAGTTAGGATGTTTTGTCTATCAGCACTATTCAATTCCAATTACAAAGTAATTTCATATTTGGATTTAGCCCAAAAAATGAAAATGGAAAGTCAGGAGACATAAACGTATTGCTAAGAAGTGAAACTCACTTAACTCAGTTTTCCCACTAGGTAAATAAACAAGAAAAGGGGAATTAGGAGAGGGGTCACCGAGGTTGGGAATCGGATTTGAGAAATATGGAAGTCAGCAGCTGAAAAAAATATTTCATTAGCATATGTCATTCCACAGAAAACACAACACTCACTCCACATGGCAAATGCTTTCCAATCAAGAAAATATTTTACGAACAAAACAAGTGAATACCTTCAATATTGTACGTTTGTACTTTGTCCTCTGACACAGTGACTGGCTCCCACTGATGATCCTTAGATTTAAAAACAGGTTGTGACCAAACAGTTTTTCTAATTAAAAACACTCTAAAACACCAATTTCTAAGCTATACAAATCTACATTTTTAAACTAGTATTCAGTAATCTCCATTAGCTGTATGCTACATGTTTATCCATTCACTTTTTAAAGGGGATGAACAAGCCTAACTTGTTAAAGATTAGGCAGACAAACTCTCAAAAAATTTTTTAAAGATTTTGATCTTTTGAATGGCAGAGAGGGAGGGAGGGACGGACAGACAGACACTGCCCAACATAGACCGGGTCCTCCATATGCTGGTACACTCCCCAACGGCTGCACAACCACAATCTGGAACAGGCAGGAGCCAGGAGTTCCTCCTGGGTGCCCTATGGGGGTTCAGAGTTCAAGCACTTGGGCCATTTCTCACTGCTGCTCCAGGCAGATTAGCAGGGAGCTTGACCAAAAGTGGAGCAGCCGGGACTTGCATTGCACTTACAGGGTATGTCAGCACTGCGATAGGCTGTCACATGCTATGCCACAGCACTGGCACCATAAAGATTGACTTGCAGAGACAGAGGGAGACACAGCAAGAGCTTTCATCTGCTGATTTACTCTCCAAATGGTGCGGCAATAGCCAGGGCTCCACAGAGCTGAAGCCAGCAGCTTCCGCTGGGTCTCCTACGCAGGCGGCAGCAGCCTGTACTGCCTTGCCCAGGCTACTGGCAAGGAAGTGGGTGGGAAGTGAAGCATCCATGAGATTCCAGTACCACAGGTGATGGCTTAACCCACGGTGGCACAACTCCCGGCTGGAACTCACATATCCTGCAAACTGCTGCTATGTGGTTTCATTCTCAGCTTTCTAGGACAGACAAGGGCACACAGCCATCCCCCCAAACAACCTGCATACTCAGTGATAGGAAGAGGAGGGCACGGGAGAACTGTCTGATCACCAGGCCAGCACTTACAAGGATTGACTCTTTTCTCCTCTGCCCAAGGAATGCACTTGAGTGTGCTGCCTATTGTGGACAGGGCACACCTCTCAGCTCATGCAGAGGCAGTGTGCAGGTTCTTCCCTGTATTCTGGCAACAGCTTGCCCCACTCGTTCTAGTTATCTCTCTGTGTGGGGTGGCCGACACTTGTTTACCAGTATATGCCTATTCCCTCACTACCACAAGAACCTGGATCAAAAATTAATATATTCATTGCCCACATCAAGAGCATTAATTTTACTCTATTACTCTTAACAAGAATGACCTGTTAATCTTTAAGAGGTAATAGTTTATTTTTCTATATTTTAAGATTTAATTTTATTAGAAAAGCAGATTTTTACAGAGAGAGAAAGGTCTTCCACCTCCTGGTCCACTCCCCAGATGGCTGCAGTGGTGACAGCTGAGCAGCTCTGAAGCTGGGAGGTTCTTCCTGATCGCCCATGTGACTGCAGGGGCCCACGATCTCCGGCACAGGCAGAGCACTAGATCAGAAATGCAGCAGCCAGGACACAAACTGCCATCCATGTGGGATTAACCAGCTATGCCACCACATCTGCCCCAAAGTTTTCCCTTCTAAAAATGTTACACTCCTTTTCCTTTGAAATACATTGTCATACTCTTTCCTCAGCATATAAATCCGCTACCTATGCCAGGTCCTGTAATCACACTGCTAATCATCCAATCATTCTTAGATCCAAAGACTGCATGCACGTGAAGAATAGGTTAAAACGTTTCTCTTTTTTAAGGCATTTTCATGAACACAGATTAGGTGTTCTAAGCAATTAGAAATGCAGAAAGACCTAAGGTGACCATAAGCATGATCTGTTTGGACATAGTAATCATAGAAAATGCTGTGAAATAACTAGGCAGTGTGTGGGCCAGGCTGGCAGTGCACGCTGAAGACACGAGAGAGACGGACAGTCATTCTGTGGAGACGGGATTCTGCACAGAGCGGGAGGCACAGTTAGGACACAGCACGTTAACCTGTTGCCTGCAGTGCCAGCTACAACACTAGTCTGAGCCCTGGCAGCTCCACGTCCCGGCCAGCTAGCTGCTCGTGAGCCTGCACACGCAGGGGACGGTCCAAGTACATGGGTTCCTGCCAGCCATTTGGGTGGCCTGGATGAAGGTGCAGGCTCCTGGCTCTGGGTACCACTGGGACCGTTTGGACAATGAACCAGTGAACAGAAGATCCATTTCTCCACATATTTGCCTTCCAAATAAAGTAATTTTCAAGAAAGATTACTTTGTAAAAAAGATGAACCCCATGGAGAACATGCCACTGCTACAGAAATCCAGGAGATGATTTAAAATATGTTTTGGAGGGGCGGGGCGCGGCTGGCATGATAGCATAGCAGTTAAAGTCCTCGCCTTGAATGTGCCAGGATCCCATATGGATGCCAGTTCTAATCCCAGCAGCCCCACTTCTCATCCAGCTCCCTGTGTGTGTCCTGGGAAAGCAATCGAGGACGGCCCAAAGCCTTGGGACCCTGCACCCATGTGGGAGATCTGGAAGAGCTCCTGGTTCCTGGCTTCAGACTGCCTCAGCTCCAGCCGTTGCGGCCGCTTGGGGAGTGAACCATCGGACAGAAGACCTTCCTCTCTCTCTCTCTCCTCTTCTGTGTATACCCGCCTTTCCAATAAAAATAAATAAATCTTTAAAAAATAAATAAGATTTTTCAAAGAAGAATTTCCTAGCATCTTGGTTAACACAGTAATTAATATACCTGAATATATCTGACATTTTCTCTATCATAGAGCAGGGCAATTGCTTATTTTGTCTGAATTACTTATTAGACAAAGGCATGGACTATACCAACATCATTCTAAAGTCAAAGTTATTAAAAGAAAATTCAGTTAAAAATACTTCTCAGAATCATGCAGCTCTCCCTAATGAAAACTGCCAAAGCCTGCGGGAGTCACAGCAGCCCTGGGAGCTCCACAGGTGTGGAACATTCTACAGCAAACACCCAGGAGAACTGAGCCTCGCTTTCAAGTGCTACCGCAAGGAACAATCCCGTGCTGTGCTCAGAGGGGTTTCATGAGAGTGAGGCCATTCGTGATTTCCTGTTAATGGTAAACTTAATAGAATGCTTGCCAATGTGTTTGACTCACTTTGCTTGTGTGAAGTTTTACTAGTCATCAGCATGTAATCCATTTCTGAAAGTTTTATGCCAAGAAGTTGTTTAAAAATTTATCACTATTTTTTCTGTTAAGACAGCAGAAATCATTCATAACATTCATATTCTAAAGTGAATTTAAAAATGTATATACTCACATAAGAGTACTTCAATGCTCATGGGGTACAGAATTAAAATATGTCTATTTTGGTGCAGATTTCAAAAAAAACCTATGCACAGTTTTTCATAATATATATTTTTTTTTACCAATTATTGGAGTCCCTGAACTTTTTAACTGAAAACATTTTCACCAAAATAAACTTTTCATGCCCTTTCCCCAGGAACTTTCTGAACTCTCCCCGATTTTTACGCCGAGGAGATAGAGCTTACATCACTGTCTTCGGCAACGTAGAAGGAGAGAGACTGGCTCTCTGTGTTGAAATCCATCCAGAATTCTTCCAGCTTTTCATCTGATGGCATTTTCAGCTAATGAAACAGACTTATTACTGTACTTTTAAATATGACAACAGAAAAGCACACTAAGCTTAGACTAATGGCTGAACTTCGTTCTTCATTGTGGCGCCACCTGCCCCCAAAAGCTCAAAGTCCCGTCTCGGGATACACTCACAACTAATCCTGGTGCCAGAAAAAGTCAGAGGTCAGGGGCTTGATGCCAAAAGATCAGCATCTAGCCTGAGAAGAACTTAACCTTGGGGCTCTGCGAGGAAGATGGGGGGCCTCAAGGGGACCACTGCAAGCTGCGCCCTACTCGCCAAGGGGTCCCAGAAGTTACCAACAGCCTTCTAAAGGCCCTTCATGCTCACCAGATCTTTCAATGCACAAAATTAAAACATTTAGCTCAATGATTCTTTCTGGCTCTATTTTTAAGTCTCAGCACCCAGCAGCACTACTGGATTAACAAACGGTAAACAAGTGTTCCTTGACTCAAGAGAAAAGTTGAGAAGGGCTAAAAAACGGAAGACAGGTGTCGGCACTTAAGTGAATTTTCAAACACAAGGAACAAACTCCAATATTGCACACAGAAATTACGTGGCTTCAAGCAATGACACACATTCCATCAAGTGCTAGTACAGGTGAAATACTTCAACATACTCATGAATAATACACCACTCATGGGCTGGACGCAGGAGCCTGGACAATCTGGAGAGCCGGCCTAAACGTCCGTTACAGCTTGGCTACGGACAGTGCTCTTCTATAAAATGTCTCCTGGTGTTTCCGTCACATATACAATAGCCCGCTATATTTACGATTGAATTATGAACAATTTTAATGCTTTTATTTTGTAACTCATAATCTACTTGACCCTTGCATCAAAATTCATTGAGTAACTGAAAGGCATTAAATTTAAGCCTTACCTCATATTTATCAAGAAATGCTGCCAAACAAGGGAACGTGAAGACTCTGAAAGAGCAATTTAGGAAGGAAGTTCAGCCTTCAGAGGACATGCGTGTTCGGCCCAGAATCAAAAGGCAAGAGCCATAGCAACCTCAACAGAATCATATCTCCTGTGCTACTTTCCAAACTAAGTGTCTAACGGAAATTCATGCAAAGAAAAGCATTATCACTTCAAGAATGTTACTGAATGTACCTTTCTGACGAGAGTAACAGAACCAAAGGTTTTGTACTATGAAATCTGGACAAGTTCCAATTTTAGGCTAAAATAATGAAGTCTCCATGAAATTTATGAGGAAAAAGAATAAATTGATTCTGCTACAAAATATGGCTAAATTCATGGAGTACTTTCACAGTCAGATACACACTTCACATATTATGTCATTATCTTTTCGAAACAGACAAAGTGAGCATGAATATTCTTAAGCATAGGTAAGAAAACTAAGGCAAGCAAGACTTCAGTGATTTTTCCCATGTTTGAGTAAAGAATGGAAGTTATGATTCAAATTTAAGCCATATGGCACCTTGCACTGATCCGTCAACTCGATCTTATTAAGTGAGTGTTTACTCATTCATCCGATAATGTCCTTAGCACTGAGGAGCCAGGCAGTGCAGACACCCAGCTGTGCATCACAAACTCCTAGGAGCTCACACTCATCTACTTCCACGCTCCCTTGGGGGTAAGAACCCAGGATCCTCCTTAGAGTTCATTACTTATGAATGAATGAATGAACTCATTACTTATGAAGGCTGCAGCCTTCAAATCCAGGATGTGGCAGTTCACGTCAATAAATACACACTTAGGTTCCTATCATTCCTCACAAGCTAAATAATAATGCATACGCAAGTCTGGAATAGAGAAAACCAATTCTGGCCATTTAAGTTATTAATTAATATGAACAGAAATGCACACTCTGCTAAGAAGGACAAATAAATCAAGGCTAGGCAGAGATTATTCCTAGCTACCAGTACAATAATTTACTAAATGATTTTGTGATTAAGATATGGCTTTAATCAAACACCCATGCACATTTTACTTACAAAGTTACACCACATATAAAATCCCATACCAGGCCCCCTTCTTACGCTCCATCTCTATCGGTAAATGCTTGCTTATGGTACTCAAGTTTACCTTCTTTTATCTCCAAGCATGCCATTGACAAGGTTGAGAAATATCCTACAATCCTATTTTAAAAAGAGAAAGATTTTTTAAAATCATAATTTTTCTATTACTCCAGTAGATTTTCTTTTCAAAAATAAAACTTACAGTTTCAAATTCAGATTCTTTAATTCCTTTAAATGCAGTAACAATGAAATCCATTGAAAACCACTGACACGCCAGTTCTTGCCTTTGTTTTCTTGTGGTCATTCTACATAAAGCCTCCACAATGCCTACTTGTAAGTCGTAATCTATAAAAATATTATAAAAATGATAGAAAATTATAAACATTCATAAAAGTGCCTATATTATACATTTAAGAAAATGAGGAAACCAGGAATGTAATTTACTTCTCTTTTGCTATTCTTCATACGGTTTGATAGTACAGAAACTAATACAGTCCAAATACTTATTAATAAAAAAATGCGCAGAAATTTAAAAAGCCTTCACATGCCTAAATATTCAAACGCTTCCATTTCATCATCACTATTAGTGCTAAAATGCAAAGGAACTCAAGCCATTTATAAGTCAGTTTGTTTCTTACTGTGTAATGAGATGCAGCTCTTCCAGAGTGCATTAAATCATGCTTTATTTTATATGTAAACTATCATATCACAATTTGCTTATAGCAAACTTGGGAAAAACAAACCGAGCTCTTTAATAAATAGCACTTAAGAGTAATACATAAAACTCGATATTGTCAGAGGACTTAATTTGTTTTTTATTTTGAAATTCAGAGCTAGAGAGACAGAGATCTTCAATCCGCTGGCTAGTCAGGCTCCAACAGCCAGAACTGGGCCAGACGGAGGCCCTGGTTTGTCTGGGTTTCCCACGGGGGTGGCAGGGGCCATACACTTAGGCTCGCCTCCGCTGCCTAGCTCAGGCCATAGGTAAAGGAACTGAAGTACAGCAGCAGGGCTACAGACCATGCCTGTTCCAGATGCCGTACCGGCTCTCAATTTTATAAAACATTACCTGAATAGTTTAATATCAGTAATTTAGCTCTATTTGAAAATTTCTTAATAAATACACCATTAGGCACAAATTATACTAATCTCCCTCTTTCCTTTGTAAATTACTTTTGTCATAAAAACACTTTAAAAAAAGATTTATTATTTGTTTAACTGGAAAGGCAGATCTACAAAGAGAAGGAGATGCAGAAAGATCTTCCACACTGGTTCACTCCCCAGATGGCTGCAACGGCTGGAGCTGAGCTGAGCTGAAGTCAGGAGCCAGGAACTTCTTCCAGGTCTCCCATGTGCAGAGTCCCAAGAGTTTGGGCCGTCCTTGACTGCTTTCCCAGGCCACAGGCAGGGAGCTGGATAGGAAGTGAAGCAGCTGGGACACTTACTAATCAGCGCTCACGTGGGATCTCGGCAGATGCAAAGCGAGGACTTAGGCTACCACGCCGGGCCCAAGACACTTTCATTTATATTTCTTAATTGTGTCAGTGTACAAACACTATTTATAATTTTGTCACAATCTCATATTATACCATTATAAGGCTAATATTTTTACCAAAATATATTATTCTGATTATTTAAAAATTTGAAATGATTACAAGTCATTCTTACCTCCAGCATCTAAAATCCTTTCTCCCATACCACTCCTGTGGATGAAAATGACAGATTACACAGCAAGCTAGTATCAATGAACAGAAAACCTCTTTTGGAGGAAAAACCTTCACTGACGTTAACAACTGCCTAGTATCAATGAGTCGGACAAAGAATACATTAACAATTTAAAAGGCTTATCAGTTTCAATTACTAGCACAAGTCAGGGCTTTGCCTTAAAAGTATTCTTAAAATTCTTAACTCGAAGTAAAGCAATATAACTTATTACATGAGGATTAACATTTCTTGTTTAGAGAATATCTTCCTGGCCTCCTTAGGCATTTTGTCAATCAGAGCATTCATCTTCTTCAAGGTCTAGAAAAAAAAGACAACAAATTCAGGGAAAATTTCATACCAACTTAAAGCCTACTTTTTCTTAATCACTATTTTTATGCAGAGAATGAAGCAGAATGAAGAAAAGAACACAGAATATACAAAACACAAAACAGCAGGAAGTGCAGACCGCCAGGCAGCACGTGCACAGTTCTAGTCTAAACATACACGCTGACTGTTCCCTGCGCTCTAGACACCGCAGGGTGTTACTGTACTATGTCCAGCTGTCCACACGTGCACACATGTACACATACGTGCTTCAAGACCCCCAACTCCATGATTCTAGTCTGAACACACACGCTGACTGTTCCCTGAGCTCTAGACACCGCAGGGTGGTCCTGTACTGTCCAGCTGTCCACACGTGCACACATGTACATTTTCACATACATGTTTCAAGACCCCTGGTTGACGAATTTTCTTTTCCTATAGCTATATGTATACCTAAGTCTGTATGATTAAGTGTAATAAATGCTTAAAAATACATTCATTACATCAATAATCATCCAAACAGAAGCCCTTAACCAGACAAGCTAGTCTGAGATAGGAAGAGCTTCTTAATCGTTTTTTGCAAACATGATAATGAAGCAGACGGCTTTACCTCCTGCTGAACACAAATATTCACTCCCGAGTCGGCAATGAGGGCACAGATTTGAGGGATGAAACTTTCTGCTACAAGCCTTTTACCTGAATAAAAGTGTTAATTATTGATAAATGTTCATTTTAAACCTCCTGGTTATTTTCTTACATGAATTAACAGAAAAAAGGCACTAGCAGCTCTGAGGTGACTCACTGACCTTGACCTCACGAGCACAGATAAAGCCCTCCCACTTTCTCATTTGACACACAGCAAGTACTAGTTTTTGGATCACACAGATCACAAGTAGAAATCTTCATTTTTGGGCTTTTACAAAATCTGGCCTCTCACTTTCAGTCACACCTCAAGAAACCTCTGCCCTGAGACTTATCATTCTGTCTCCCTAACCACATGATTCCACTTAGCTTTAAATTACCTCACTTTCAAATGATGCTTTAGTAATACTAAATATATTCAGAGAAATTTGCTACTTTCTAGTTCACATTGAAAAATTCTAATAACTTTAAACAATGAATATACTTCAGCAGCAAATGTATGAGTTTCCAAAAATAATTGCACTGAAACTTAAAAATAAATAAATAAATAAATGATACTATTTACTTCTAAAAGCTGTTAGTCACTTGTGAATCGGTGGTTCTTCAGGACTATTTTCTCCTCTAAAAAAAATTCATTGAGAAAGTAGCATTAACTGACATTTTTAAAAGCAAAATGTTTTTGCTTTGAAGGCAGCAAATGGTTTTCTCTCTAGTCCATCCGGGGATCTCAGTGAGCAATCCCCAGGGGACAGAGTGACCTGGGCCTGGCCGTGTGGCACGGTGCTCCTGCTGGCCGCCAGTGTCACAGAGCTGCATCCTGGCCCGTTACTGACATGCCCCCCACTAGACTAGCGCACGCTTCCCGGGCTCCGGGCCCCGCGAGGCGCCTGAGTCACTCATCAGCAGGTGCTCCATGAAAACCATCCGAATTGATGTTTCACTGAATCAACACCGGCTCTGGTGAAGTTAACGAAGGTTACATGAACTTGTCAGAAATGGGCACTGAGGTCCGAGTTGCCCTCTAATGCAGCAGGCCAGCTGCTCAGCAGTGCCCGAGGAGAACTGTGACTCTCTGACGTTCGGGGACAGGCCCCATCCTGCGCCAACACTGCTGACTGATGAGCCACTCCAGTCCTCAGATGTGGCTGCAGAGTTGACAGTGGGCTTTGGGGAACTGAACCTCAAACTGCACACCAGAGTAATGGGATAAATTCACTAATTTAGATAACCAAGTTAGCTTGAGCCACAACCTAGACTAAGCTGGTCGTCTCCATCCCCTTATAAACTTACAGCAGGTACGTTTCCAACTACAGAGCCGTGATCATTTCAGAACCTTGTTTTGAATGCAAAGGAAACTTATTTCAAAGTTCATCAAACTGTACAACTGAAGAACTTCATGTAACCTTCATTTCTATAAGGCAGACATTCTAACCGCAAATATTAAAACAAACAAACCCTAACAGAACTCTATCAAAGCCCACCCGGGCAGTCAGATATGTTCAATGACAATCCTTCTCACGAATCTGCAGCAGCTAAGTTATTTTCTGCATTATATAGGAAAAAAGATTTTTGAATATGTCAAGATTCAAAAAGATAATTCTGATTACATAAAAATGTCTGCAGTTTAAAATACTATTGTATGGCCCTTTTAAAAATAGGTTTCTTAATCCCTTACCTAGAGCTTTGAGAAAAGGACAGTGCTGAAGTACACTACCCGTGTACTAAAGTCCTAAGTCTTTAACAGAAATACTGTATTCAGGCCTGGCTTCTCGGCACAGCACATCAAGCCGCCAAGTGCAACGCCAGCACCACAATTTGGAGCACAGGCCCAGGAACCCAGCTTTTCTGCTTCTGACCCAGGTTGCTTCAAATACGCCCAGGCAGGTGGCAGGTTCCTGCCACCCGTGGGAGACCCAGAGGCAGTTTTGAACTCCTGACGTCAGTCATTTGGTGAGTGAACCACAGGATGCAATTTCTACCTTGGTCTCTCCCTCCCTGTCACCCTGTCATCCAAACAAACAAGTGCTTAAAAACAAAGATACATTCACTATACCTTCATCACTGATGTCAAATGTTATCTGAAAAAAATAATATTTACCAGTTATTATCTTCTATTATAACTAACACTGAAATACAGATTGTGTTTTAACATTAAGCATGCAATTATATTAATCTGTATAAATTTCTCCCACAATCTGAAGAAACTAATCCAACCAAGTCAGTGATCAATCTACCGATGATGTTCAGGCTCAGGACAAAGAACACGACTCGATTCTTACACACAACCAAGTTAAACCATGAGCTTTACCGTCAAGAGATCAAACAAGTCTTCCATCATGTTTAGGACAGCGTCATCCTTTGACTTTCCTCGGCTTAAAATAATCTCCTTGCACTTTTCAAACCAGGTAACCATGTATAAACACAAAAAAGAACACACATATCATTTGGAATTGCACTTTAATTCATAAGAATGTATTTATATTTGTATAAACAGTTAACGTAAGCATAAAGATACATCAACAATGATAGTATCAAAATAAATTTTTTTAAACATTCCCTGTACTTTATTCACTCATTAAATTTTCCCACAGTTAAGATAAGGATAAAGTTCATCTTAATTCCAGTAGATTGTCATTTTCCTTTCTAATCCCTAGTTAAGTATACTTATTATAATAGATGAAAGTAAGTTATTGTTGAAATTTGGATTATTCTGGAATCATTAGCTTGCCAATTTTGTATTAACTTTTCCTTAATTCAACTATGTGAGTCATACTAGGACACAAGTACCGTGCTAGATGCTGGTCAGGTAACAACGAACTACACAAAAAAGAACAGCCAATATCCAGCGTTGCAGAGAAACCAACAGAAAGCTCAGCAGTAACCCAGGAGAGCTTAGGAGGAGGGCGGGCAGGAGGAGGGAGGGCGGGCAGGAGGGAGGGCGGGCAGGAGGGGGGAGGGCAGGCAGGAGGGAGGGAGGGCGGGCGTGGGAACCCTGCAGGGTCTGGCAGCTTAAAGGAGCAGGATTACCAGCAACTGTCCAGACATTCCTTGTGAATTTTATCCTTAAAATACATACCACAAGTTATAAAAATATTTTTTTTTCCTCAAACTTTTACTTAAAGCTCCCAAACTCATTTTTCAGTAATCCTGAGCATTTCTTCAGTAGAAAGCGTGCATTTTACCGTACGCTTCCCTCACAGGGTCTATACTTATCTTCTGGACTAGTCCTTGTTTCATCATAGTGAGGAGGCCACATTGTCCCAATATAGTGATATTTTTGCCACATTTTGCCACAGAAGCCAAAATGGCCGAAACCATTTGGACGTCCTTTTTATTAAGCTCCTGCAAAGGAAAGTAGACATTCAACCTTCTGCAAACACAAGAATATGCTAACAGCTTCACCCTGCTCTTTCTAAGCCTCACCAGTCTCAAACAGGGCCATGACCGCCACCTCTACACTGCTAAGGAAAACTGCGTAGCTTAAAAAGAAACTTTCTGGGCCCGCTAGGTGGCAAGCAAGCTAGCCCTCCGCTCATGATGCTGGCATACCATATGGGTACCAGTTCTAGTCCCTGTTGTTCCATGTCTGACCCAGCTCCCTGTTTATGACCTGGGCAAGCAATGGGGGATGGCACAAGTCCTTGGGCCCCTGTGCCTATGTGGAAGACTTTAAAGCAGCTCCTGGTTCCCAGCTTCCAACTACTCAGATCTGGCCATGGCAGCCATCTGGGGTGGGGGTGCCAGCAGATGGAGGGTTTCTGGCTTTAAAGAAAAAGAAGGAAAGAAAGAAAAAAAAATGGAAAAAAAGGAAAAAGAAGGAAAAGAAAGAAAGAAACAAACAAACTTCTTCTGGTTCTGGGCCCAGAGCAGTAGCCTAGTGGCTGACATCCTTGCCTTGCACACCCTGGGAATGGGCACCCGTTGCTGTCCTGGTGGCCCCACTTCTCAACCAGCTTGCTGCTGTGGCCTGGGAAAGCAGTCAAGGATGAGCCAAAGCCTTGATACCCTTCACACTCCTGGGAGACCCAGAAGAGGCTGCAGGCTCCTGGCTTCATATTGGCTCAGCTCCAGCCATTGTGGCCACTTAGGCAGTGAATCAACAGACGGAAGATCTTCCTCTGTTTCTCCTTCTCTCTGTATATCTGATTTTCCAATAAAAATTTAAAGATAAATAAATCTTTAAAAAAATTTTTTTCCAGGCCCAGCGTGGTGGCGCAAGTGGTTAAGGTCCTCGCCTTGCACGCCCAGGATCCCATATGGGCGCCGGTTCTATCCCGGCAGCCCCGCTTCCCTTCCAGCTCCCTGCCTGTGGCCCGGGAGAGCAGTTGAGGACGGCCCAAAGCTTTGGGACCCTGCACCCACGTGGGAGACCCAGAAGAGGCTCCTGGCTTCGGACCGGCATAGCATCGGCCGTTGCGCTCACTTGGGGAGTGAATCATCAGACGGGAGATCTTCCTCTCTGTCTCTCCTCTCTGTATATCCGCCTTTCCAATAAAAAAAATAATATAAGTAAATCTTAAAAAAAAATTTTTTTTTTCCTAAAATGTCCAGCCCACTGAATAGCAAACTCAGGGCAAAATTAAGATCTTTACAAATTCAAAAAATTAGTCTAGAATATGAATGAATCACAATGAGTCACAGATCTCACTGTAACTGCCTTTCCTAGTCTACACAAGTATTTTATATTTGTGACCCAAATGCAAGACTTAGGTAATTTGTCCTTTTAAAAATCACTAAGCAAAGCTCCCTCAGGTGACGGGCACTTGGTCAGGCTCCTGTGCCTTCTCCCTACAGCAGAGGGCGTTACTAAATCTCACAAAAACTCCTCTCCTGCAGTTCCCGTGACACTGCTGACACTAACCCTATGTAAAAACAGCTTTCTGCGGATCTTATTGTGGAAACAAAGTCCAATGTTTCAAGATGTAGCCAAGCTACAAAAAAAGGTTTCTTAACATAACTCTATTTAAGCATACTCAAGTTTTTATTTTTTCTAAAGGAGTACTTTCTAGAAGAGCGAATCCCATGTAATAATTATAAAGATCATTAAGCAAAAATCAGTATTCACCCTGCATATAAGGTCATCCAACTTGTGAAAAAACTGTTTGCTGCATTTAATCTTCACATCTTCAGAAATATCAATTTGCAAAAGTGTGTCCAAAGGCTTGAAATTGTTTTTCCTTAAAGCATCATCGATGCATTTTTCCAACTGCTGGAGAAAAAGAACAGCGTATGTATGGAATCAAAGCCCAGATCAGTCGTAACCTGAAGTCAGCGTTTGAGATGTTTCCACAGGAAAACTCAAACAAGTTCACAAACTATGGGTTCACTTACATTTCTAAAAATACTGCCTGCTGCTAAACAGGGAGCAGCCAGGTTACACAGTAAGAGGCTTTGGTTAAAAAAATAAGACTCTCTAAATAGAAAAAATATTAAGATTCCCAATTCATTACTTTTATTGTTAAAGTCATGTTAAATGTAAAAACTGGATAAAAAAAGACATGATCCTAAATTCATACTTAACACCATGGAAGAAACCGAACCTATCAGACTGCACGGTTGCGAACAGTGCTTAAACAGTGAGGCAGCAGGTGGGAGCACCCGTGGGAAAGAGCTGGCCAACACGCAGGAACCAACACACAGGAACCAACACGCAGGAACCAACACGCAGGAGCACCCGTGGGAAAGAGCTGACCAACACGCAGGAACCAACACACAGGAACCAACACGCAGGAGCACCCATGGGAAAGAGCTGACCAACACGCAGGAACCAACACGCAGGAGCACCCGTGGGAAAGAGCTGACCAACACGCAGGAACCAACACGCAGGAACCAACACGCAGGAGCACCCATGGGAAAGAGCTGACCAACACGCAGGAACCAACACGCAGGAACCAACACACAGGAACCAACACGCAGGGAAAGCCCACACCCATGGGAAAGAGCTAACGAACATGACCACGTGCTCTGTAACATTCATAACATTACAACAATTTGCCACTCCTGATATTAAAGCACAACTTCATTAGTACGAATGTTCACACTACACACCTGGTAAATAAATATTAGAACCTACTCTCTATGTACTCTTCATTTCTTATTTGAGAATTTTAAAAACTTAAAATCAATGTACATACACATTAATCACTACAGAATTTTTTCAATGTAAAAAGTATTATAAAAAACAGGATGTTTTAAACTTAATATTCTTAATATAGCTTCTGAAAATATATCTACTGAATAAATCAAATGGCATTTTTATTCAAGTTCGTCTACACTTAAACATTTCATTAAATTTTGTAAGCTTTATCACCGATAAACTGGAAACACTGATTGCCCGTAATTAAACAAAATGTGATTTTAGGAATTAAACTGCTTCCTTGGGGTCTAGGCCCACATACCTGGAGATCTGGTCTTACTGGCATTTTGGCTACATTAAAAGCAGCAGGAAAAGAAATACCTATAAAAGAAAACACACGCATTGACTGTGTCTTACAATCTGTTCCATGCATTTACAGTTTAAAGCCTTTAACCTCTTATATAAGTATTTCTAAATACCAAGGCAGTGTTATTTCCTTAATATTTTCACTGGATATTTTCCACATTTCTTTATCAAGTTACACATACAAAGAAGTCTCATTTCTTATCTTTTCGCTTGTTTAAACGCTTACTTAAGGGAATTTCTAAAAATACTGCCCGCTGTTCAACACGGAATAGCCAAATTAGAAATGAGATCTTCCAGCCCCAGTTCACTCCCCAAACGGCCTTAACGGCTAGAACGGCGTTGATCTGAAGCCAGGATCTAGGAGCTTCCTTCAAGTCTCCCACATGCATGCACGGTCCCAATGACACGGGCCATCCTCTGCTACCTTGCCCAGGCCCATAAGCAGGGAGCTGGATTGGAAGTGGAGCATCTGGGATACAAACCAGTGCCCCAGAGGATGCTGGCACTTGAGGGTGGAGCATCAGCCTGCTTAGCCACAATGCAGGCCCCAAACGACAAAGAAGTTTCTGGAGGAAAGTGCGAAGATAATTTATCCAAGTATATAAAATGTTTCATATTGGTACAACACAGAGATTCGCAATGCTTGGCAGGTTTAGAGTATTACTTAAACAATCATCAATAAAGCAAGAACGGAAACACAAGGACCAGCACCGCGGCAAGATCTTGCCACTGGTGCTGATCTTGCCACTAGTTGCTGTCCCTGCTGCACACTTCCAGGCCAGCTCCCTGCTCACGAAGGCCTGGGGGAGCGGCCGCGCATGGCTCCTGCTCAGGCGCCTGCGGGAAGCTCCTGGCTCCTGGCTCTGGGTCGGCCTGCCTTTGCTGCAGCCTTCAGGAGCATGAACCAGTGGTTGGAAGAGCTCCTCCACTCTTATTTCTCTAACTGCCTTTCCAATAAAAATCTAACTCTTCCAAAACGGTGAAACACACTTAGCCAGTGGAAGGTGTCCTTAAGCTTCTGGCCCTTCCATGGGAACTGGAACAGCCTTGCTGGCTCCTCACATCAGCCTCCCGCGCACTGCCTGTTAGTCATCTGGGGAGTGAACCAGGGCGAGTGAGGAAGGGCGCTCTCCTTCCCTCGCTCCCTTCACTCGCACTGCTTCTCTCCTTTCTCTCCTGTCACTCTGCATTCAAATAAATAATAAATAATCCTCAAATCTCCTTACCAAAGCTGTCCTCTTTAAAGCAAGGGAAAGTAGCCTTCCTATCATCCAGGATGGCAAGTTGAGGCCAGCACTGTGGCAAAGCTGGCAAATCAAGCCTGTGACGCCACTATCCCACTGGGCACTGGTTCATGTCCCAGCTGCTCCTCTTCCAAATTAGTGCCCTGCTAATGGCTGGGCCAAGTGTTAGGGCTCTGCCACCCACAGGATAAACGAGGACGGACAGCCTGGCTCCGCTTCCACCTGGCCCAGCCCCGACCTCTGTGTTCATCTGCGGAGTGAGCCAACTGATGACCTGCTATGTGGCATTCTCTCTCTAGCCCTAACTCTGAAATAAATAAATATATCTTTAAAAAAATATACAGCATGACAAAGCAAAGAAAAAACTTATACAAGGAAATTCTTACCTTTCTGGACACTTTTCTGAGTTAAATACATTAACTCAAGCCTCTGTTTTATCATATTTCACATATTTCATCTACACGTGATTCAGTGACTCGCTCTTGGCATTCATTTCCTTACCAGATCCTTTTAATGTTTTATGTAAATTTAATTCTCAGACCCAACTTAAAAACTCCTAAAAGAAGAATTCTGCACCCTCCTACAATTTCAACTGAAAATCAGATTGTTGGGCAGAGTCATAATTTTGTAAAACTACATATATGCTGTCCAAAAGTATATTCTTAAGATAATATATTACTGGAAGTAGATCTATGAACTAAGGAAACATGCTCTTTATATTAGTCTGAAAATAATTTTTTACTTTTTCAATATTATTATCACTTTGTGACACAATTCCATGGGCCCCGGAATTTCCCCCATACTCTCCCCAATTCCCTCCCCGAATTCTCCTATATCATTATTATAGTTCTTCATAAACAGTCATATGCCCATCACTGTGGCCATGGACAATGGCAGAGTCCAGCATCCTAATGTCAAGATACAGTTATCAGCTTCACTGGGAGTCCATCTTTGTCTGGAAGTAGAGCTGCATACTGCATTGTGTCCTCACATCTGGATAGGATAGTCCCCAGTACAATTACTGTACATCCCCTTAAATTAAAAGCCACAACACAATATCAACAGGAAGAGAAACAGAAATTTATAATGCCATGAAGCTAAGCAACATGCTACTAGATATGATAGTCCCCATTACAGTTACTGTACATCCCCTTAAATTAAAAGCCACAATATAAAATCAACAGGAAGAAAAATTAAATATGCCATGAAATTAAACATGCTACTGAATGATTAATGTGTCACTGAAGAAATGAAAATCAAGAACCTTCTTGAAAAAAATGATGCTACTGTATGATCTATGAGTCAATGAAGATTTTAATGAGAAAATGTTTTGAAGAGATAAACCTGAAAAAAAAAAATCAAAATCCATGAGATACAGTTTCCACTGATCTTGTTGGTAAGATGTGTCTCTTGTAGGCAACAAATAGATAGGTTTTATTTTTTAATCCAGTCTACTACTTTATGTTTGATTAATGAGTTTTAAGCCATTTACATTCACAGTTAATACGAATGGGCGACAATTTGGTTCTGTCATTTTAGCAATGGGTTGTTCATTGATTTAGTCTTCTGTTATTTCACTGGGATGTTCTTCACATTTGCCTTTGGTTTTGGTGAGTGCTATTCCTCTTCAGTCAAGAGAACATTTTTAAGTGTTATTTTTAGGGCAGGCTTGGAAGAGGCGTATTCCTTTAACTTTTATTTGCTGTTGAAGAATTTAATTTTGAAAGACAAAGGAAAGCTTTGCTGGGTATATTATCCTGGGCTGACAATTTTTTGCTTTTTGGAAACTGTTGCTCCATTCTCTTCTGGCCTGTAGTATTTCCTGCGAGAGATCTCCTGTGAGTTTAACTAGCATTCCTTTATATGTAAGTTGGCTTTTTTCACGTGCACATTTGAGGATCTTTTCCTTATGTTCGTTTGAAGAGTTATCATGTGTTGTGGTGAAGATCACCTTGGGTTAACACTGCTGGGAGTTCTGTGCCTCTACTGGAAGCTGTGGCCCGATTCTGTTTCCAAATTAGAGAAATTTTCCTTTATTATTTCATAGAATACACTTTCAATCCCAGTTTCTCTTTCTGCACCTTCTGGGACTCCCATAACTCTTATATTTGGCCCTTTAATAGTGTCTTCCAATTCTTGAATACTTATTTTTAGCTTGACCCAGCTCTGTTTCCAGCTTTTGGTTTGTTTCTCCCTGGTGACCAAAAAACATCTGCCAATTCTGAGATTCTTTATTCTGCTTCACTCATTCTATTTTGGAAACTCACCAGTGTACTTTTAATTTGCTCCACTCTATTCTGAACTTCTGATATATCAACTTTGATTTCATTCATTTCCTGTGTGACATATTCCTTAAATTCCTTAACTCAGCATTACGTGCCTCTTGTTGATGTATTCCTCAGTGAACTCTAAGGCTTTTGCTCCTTTGCAGAAGAGTCTTCAGTGTTATTTATTGTGCCTCTGTCTCTTCTTTTGCTCTTGGTCATTGTACTTCTGGTTAGATTCTTCTCCTGTGGGCAGGTTTCTAAGCTGTATCACCCAGAGGTCTATAATTCAAGTTCCAGGTCTGGGTTCTTATGTTAGATTTCCGCCATGGTCTCCGTAGCCCCAGTTTCTGGCTCACCGCTCTCCACTTCCTGTTATACCGTGCTGAGGCTGTACTGTTGCCTGTACAACCTTTCTCCCTCTTCTGGTTGGAGCAGGTTCCAGGATTCGGGAGACAGCAGATGTCTTATACAACTAGGTTGTTGGTGGTGCTGATCTTGCCAGAACCTGTTGGCTGTGAGGTCTGAGGGCCACACATACAATGCTATAGTTGGCATATTTTCCTGTGGGACCTGTGCAATGCACTGAGTTTAGTGAGTTTGCTCCCAGCTCAGCACATGCGCAGCTCACTGTTGCCTCTGCAGTCTTAAATTCTTTGCCACACTGTAAGAAATGGCATCTGATGTGCCACTACTAGAGTTCTTGATCTGCTGGCCATTAGGTCTGAGTGCTACCCGGACATGGAGCTTCTGGTACTCCAACAGGTACCCATATGGGATGCCTGCAGAGCAGGCAGCAGCTTCACCACAAGGATTTTCTCTCCATGAAGGAGAGTCATATAAAAATCCCAACTCCATGAATCTGACTGCATCTCAGCCAGGCGACTGCATCTCAGCCAGGCGACTGCATATGGATACTTGGGGATTTAACTGAAGAATTTTTTTAAAAGATTTATTTTTATTATTTCTTTTATTGGAAAGGCGGATATACAGAGAGGAGAGACAGAGAGGAAGATCTCCCGTCTGATGATTCACTCCCCAAGTGAGCGCACCGGCCGATGCTATGCCAATCCGAAGCCAGGAACCTCTTCTGGGTCTCCCACGCGGGTGCAGGGTCCCAAAGCTTTGGGCCGTCCTCGACTGCTTTCCCTGGCCACAGGCAGGGAGCTGGAAGGGAAGCCGGGCTGCCGGGATAGAACCGGTGCCCATATGGGATCTTGGGCGTGCAAGGCGAGGACCTTAACCACTGCGCCACCGCACCAGGCCCTAACTGAAGAATTTTAAGTTTTAGATATTTTAAATCAAACACACAGGACTTTTTATTTTGTGTTTGTAATTCCTTCAGTCTTTGAGCTTCAACTTGTCAAGTACTCTAATCATTCAACTTGAATGTTCCCTAAAATTAAAGCAAAGGGCCAGTGCAGTGGCAGAGAGGCTAATCCTCCGCCTGTAATGCTGGCCTCTCTTAATGGGAACTGATTTGCGTCCTGGCTGCTCCACTTCCCAT